GTGCAACCCTAACTTTGTTACTTTTATTTCACTACAATTTAATCACTAGAGCACGTGAGAGGCGCACTTCGATCTTAGTAGGGCAGCTTGCCAAGATGCGTCAAAGATCTGTATTCATCGCTACGTAAAATGCCACGTATATTTCTCTCGAGATACGCTTGGTTGCAGCTGCCTTTCTACAACCAGGGAAAGTCCGACATCCGCGATTTTCATACACAAAAACATCAATTCGAGGAAAGACATTAATTTACTCGAAATAGTTTCGAAGAAATTAACAAGGAATATTTAAAAAATAATTATTTAAGATTAAATATCTTCAAAAGTTTAATACTAATAAAATATGTGTTACAAAATTTACCACAAAATTTTCTTAACAGACCTTGTATAGGCAATAATATATTCATTATTTGTAAATAAGTCAAATAAAAAGTGCAAAAAATAATATTTTTATATTTTCTCTCAGATCAAATTAATTTTGCAATGCATTATTTATTCAAACCATTTCCTAGTGTAGAATATGTTGAAAAAAGGAGTGCAAAATGCGACTACTAATATGGTACAAACGATTTATATTATAATCCATCGATCCTCGAATAAATATTGAAGATTTATATAGTTTCAAAATATTATGAAATATACGCAAAATTTACATTTCACAGTCCTATACTTGGCCGATTTCTGTAGAACTTTCAACGCGTGCCAATATTTACTGCGGCAGTTAGTGTCACTCTTTCGTTTGATTTGCGCGTTCATATAAATGTCACATCTTTAAGAAAAAAAGCAAGAGTACTCTGATTACCGATCAAAACAATATCTGCTTCGCGTGCCATAAAAACTGTCACAAAAATATAAAATGCATGCCTTGGAGTTTGTATGGCATTTGATCATTCAATGCGTCCTTAACACGCAAAAGTAAAGACAGAAGGACAAACTCCTTTTCGCGAGCACCTTCTTACGATCGTGTCGAAAATCCTCGACCATTTCCTAATTCTGGACGCATATATCGCTCTGGAAACGAAAGATTTGCACCGAGAGTTTCGCATCAATCCTCAAGGAATCGGGGTCACATCTGTTTTTCGCGCATACCTTTTTTTTTCGCGAAGTCGTTTTTAACGCGCGCATTTGCATGCAATTATTTTTGTAATCGAGGCCGTCGCGAAAACCTAACGAAAGGCTTTGGCAATGTCTCGTCGAAACGTTTACTCGAATAAAGCGGCGGAGTTTATCAACGCGATATCTGGGTAATTGTCATCGAAAAAGAATTGAGCAATAATCTTTTTGCAAAATAAATTGATATAAATTCCATCGAATGTTCTTCGAAGTCCGACAATGTCACTCACGTGTTGGAGTAAGGTCAGATATCTAATTTGGAACAAGGCAATTCTCGGTAATGTATAGAAAACACTTACAAATACTTTTTAGTTGTATTTAGTAACATTCAGTCAATAACATTCAAAAATAGTTATATAGAATTATACCACATCTCCTTCGACCTACTCTTATTTATAAATATGAATTTTTAATCTCTAAATAAAAAGGTTGTGATAATACAAGCGTTAATTACTGCAATGTCGCAAAAGTTCTTTTTAAAAGTGTTGAAGATAATATATACATATATATTATTATGCAAATTGATAAGTAACGAGTACAAAAAACGTGACACATTGATGTCATTATATCCAATATGTTTCCTTATGACATTTTTTGTATCATATTAATCGTGACTTTTTTGAGTACATTAATGATTAGATCTTACGAGTGATATCATAGCTTGTTTCGGAAATATTTCTGACGCAAAAATTGCTTATTACAGTGCATATTCGTATTCGACGCGCATAAACGCATTTCGCAAAATGTTACTCCAATCTTTGAGAGGAGAGATGATAAAAAAATCACTATTATTAAAACACGCTCTTGCTCCGATCGATTACAATTACATCATTCCGTGTTCAAAGCATTGCGTGTTATTATAATGATTATTATCATTCGAAAACATATCTCTTTGAGGCAGCAAACAATTTCTTAAAAATTCTAAAGAAATTTCTGTTAATGTTTCAAAGCGTATTCTTTATATAAAAACAAAATATTTTTTTTATTTCTACAAAAATAAAATCTAAAAGTTGAAAATAAAAAATTATATATTATATATATTTTTTTAATAATCGCAGTACTGTTTGTATTATTAATTTGAAAAACAAGTATAATTTACAATATCGCATTTGATTATATTCGATTTCAATAATTAGAACAAACGTTTCTACGTTCGGCGCGCTAAAATATGCAAAGATTTTGACATTCGATACGTATTCGTAAATCGATAAAGCCAGCAATATCTTGGCAAAAACACGAGCATTCAATTACTGAAGAATTTTACCACAAGCGGTGTGAGATAATTCAGAAAAGCTTCTGCTTCTACGTGCGAGTGATGTCACAGGTTCGCGTGACGTCAATTTATCAAAAATCATAGAATTAATGACTAAATCCAGTTAACACCATTCTACTTTAGGTAAATCAATCGCGTATCTAATTATGTTCTCCTTTGTCACAAGGAAAATCAACTTTTTTGTTCCTAGACGTAATTTAAAAGAATAACTCGACGCACATTAAACACGTCTCTTCTTACATACACTGCTTTGATTTCAGAAACATATTATTTATTATTTCTTCTCAGAGTAGTTAACATTGATTATCCTTTTATTTCTTTTTAAGAACTTTATTAGTTATTTTGAGAAAATAAGTTAGAGCTGGATAAGCAAGCTTTAAATTCAATTTAGCATGGATCAAAAAAGCATATAATATGTAGGTATATTGCGAACATTATCATTATTTAAAATTCTAAAAAATGTAATATTTTTAAATTATGCGCGTATAATTATAATCCCCTAAATATGATAAACATAATAAAATATACGCTAATTCTTATAACAATACTTTTATTTTTTGTGTCATTCTCGAATATCATATTTTCCTCTAGATTTCTTTCACGTCTTATCCATCCGGAATTAAACATTCTAATTAAAGAACATTCTAATTAAAGTAAGATTCTGCGAGAAAACTCAGAATATAGTCCAAATATAGTATAAAATAATTTTTCTAATTGCAAGATTTGTTATTGTTATCTAAATTGCGATATTCATCGTGCACGATTAAGTTATTATCGTTTATGACGCACGCATACACACGCACACATGGTATCAGTCTTGAGATGATATACTTTCTATCATACGGGACGTATCAATTATTCATAATGATGCGTCATTGTGTGTCATCCAATGTGTACGACCGAAGGATTTTTAAATTTGCTAAAAACGATCGTCGTTAAGCCATTGAGGACAGATTCGCAATTAGTTGACCTAGATCAGCCGGTATAGGCATAACCTGCGTGCGCAAGGACGCTTGTCCTCATAAGGAAAGAAACGATCCTCGTGTGGGTTCGACAAAAAAAATCACAAAAATAAGATGAATTACGGGCGACCGAATGTAGCCGTGCTTTTAGGATGTACAACAAAGAAAAGTGGGTTTATGACTCATCAACCCGTTGTTTTCCTTCACGCGCCACTATTTACGGTATCGGGTCGTAAACTTTTTTTTTTTACGAATTCTTTCGAATTTTACAAATAACGTACAACGTTCTTTCATAACACGTAGGATACGGAAACAATACAGTTTGAAACGAAACTAATATCAGATGCCGTTAGATATATATACATTCTAAATTGAAGACGTAAACAGTTACGTTGATAAATATGTGTAATCTCTAACTTCCATTTACGATCTCTTGTAAAAGCAGAAATGAAATAACAATACATAGAAAAAGCACTGACTGAGCTTAGGTTATTACGTATCTATCCAATTCTACGGTTGACTGTTTATAATCACGCGCGTATGAGATACTACATCAGAGTCTTATCCAACTCGCCGTAAACGTAAATAATTATTCATTACATAAACAGTGTAAGATTCCACAAGGCGAATTGAATTGATATTAATGAAAGATTGAAGTCGTATGCGAGCCAATTTAATGCTTCGAAAAAAAAAGAGAAAAGGAGAAATAGAAAAGCGAGAGAGGCGGAGGGAAGACACGTGGGCAAGGTCGTCGCAAGGATTCGCGGGGTCATTTACATTACATGCGATTATATCTGCTCAAAGAGAGATATTGCGTTTTCGCTTTCAACAAAGCCCCCGCCTACCTACGTGACCGTGACGAGACGACGGTTATTTCTGATTTTTTCAGAACATTCGCTTTCGAGCAAAGAAAAATAATAACGTTCCAGATACGCGCCGCGCGTGCACTGCCAAATATTATTTTTAAGTCTGATTTTTTCATGCACTTCTCGACGCGCTCGATCGCATGAGATCGATTTTATTGTGTGTGCAGTGTGTTTGTGTTAAAAAATACTATCAGATGCTACGAATGATTATGATATAAAAAATTATAAATATATACATGTATATAAATATTATAAATAATATATATATGTCATAAATAATATTTTTAACTAATAATTTCTTTAACTAATAAAGAAATTATGTATTTTAAAATAAAAAGTAAGTTAAGCAAAACCATTTTTGTTTGCATTTAAAGTATGCAGCAGATAATATTTAAATACTCTCATATCAAATATAAATGTCAGATTATAGTTACGAATTTGTTTATGTAATATAGAATAAGAGCAAACGAATAAGGATTAGCATTAATTTGTAACATGAAAAAAGAAATAATAACTATGTATAGTAAACAAAGTATCAAATAGTAGCTTTCGTAATGTAAAATGTTTATATGTCTGTATATGTATGGTGAAAGTATGATATGTTGAAACATATATGTTTGTATTATGTATTGTGACAACTGGCTGCACTTTTTCCTTCCAATGTGGAATATAAAAAAGATAAACTCTGAATTAATACAGCCAGCTCAGCAATAGAAAACAGATATACTAATCCTTATTCCAATTTCACTCGTCGTCAATCTTTGGTGCAAAATCAACTGAAAGAGGTACCTCTTGAGTGAGTTCCGCTGCGCCAACTGGCTCTGCAGGACTCTGGGTGGAAGTTGGTGGATCGGGAGACGTCATGTTCCTGGTTGTGTTAGTGGAAACTGACAAGCTGGGACCCGCCACTGTCGCATCTCTATTAGACTCCTCGACATTGAGCAGATAAGCGTGTATGGCATTGAGGCCCGAATTCATTCTGTTGTATCTGCCCAAGGAGTTGAGCTCCTCGAACAGATCCCTTTGGTAATTCAGAAGCATGGAATCCGGATTCTTCGGATGGACGAACATCGGGCGATGGACAATCGTGTGGTCCGTGTGCCATCCGGAACCGTTGTGGAGATCCAGGGATCCAACGCCGATGGTCTGGATGTCCAGGCCCAAATAGGACTCCGGATCCACGCGCAGCAGGGAGAGCAGCAACGCGAGCTGCAGCAGCTCCTCCCGATACAGTTTCTTGATGCACAGCATCTTGATGCTGCTCCTGCTCTCGGCTCTCGGGTACAAAATCACGCGAAAACGGAGATTCCTACGGATTTCGACACGTTGTCGCACTTTGCTTCACTGTCCCTATTAAATCCAACCGACAGGCTCGCCGTCATGAGGAGGCGATGACGCAATTCCGCGAAATGTTGATTGACATTACGCGCGAGTAGCACAAAGACAGTCCCACGTAAACGAAGAATTTTCTCGAAGAACAGGCGGCGGTGCACGTTCACGCGAGACGCATCGCGAGCGAGTCGCGTGCTCCAGTTTTTAAGGTTAGAGTACGGAGTCCAGCGACGGTCCAGGACACTCGTCCACCGCGTTAATTCGCCGCGGGAACCGCGAAAGGAGTCCTCTCGGGGAAGGCGAGCGATCTCTCGGAGCGCCGGAGTGGAAATAAAAGATCCGCGGCTTTCCGGCGCGGCCGGGTGTAGGTCAGTTACACGGGATCGAAATAACCTCAAAATCCGCGCACGAGCCTGCCACACTGATCAGCCTGCGGTGGAGTCGTGCGCGCGTCGCACACGCATGCCTGGCGGACACTCCTCTGACAGGCGGCGGGCGGCCGCTCCGCACCTCCGTTCTCCGTGTGTTATCGTCGGCGCTTGGCCCTCGGGCGCGGATCGGAGTCGCGCTGACAGCGCGGATCAGCTGCGAGACCGCGAGCGAGGCGGGCAGGAGGCCTCAGGCCGCAAAAATTGACAAGTGACAGATCCCGCGTATACACGTTTACATACATACATACATAGACGACGCATACACACGGCCGCGGCGATTCGAGGCGGACGATTCGAACCCCGGGACGGGTTCGCGCGCGGATATGAGCGACCGCGACGAGCGTTATGCCGCGTCTCGCTTCCTTCACGCCGCGACGTTCGAGCCTCGCGCGGCGGCGGCGGCGATGAGACGACACTTTTGCCTCCCGACTCGGAGTTCGTTACGCGGAGAAACCTCCCGTCCGACCGACCGAGCTGAGCGAGCGAGCTGGCCAACGTCGCGCACCTCGCCGGGAGAGATCGTTCGCGAATTGTGACTCAGCAATCGCGGTATTCGCGGTCCGACGTCCGACGTCGCGCCGCTCGTCAGGGCCGCGCCGACGTCGTTGATTTCCCCGCGCGTTTCCCAATCGCGCGGTTTTGCGCGCTTGTACGCCGCCGAGCGGTAACGAGCCACTCGCGTTTAATTCCGTTATCGCCGACGATAACGATTTCCGCGACTACGACTACTATGAACCTCATGGACGATACGTGCGACGTGCAACTCGGCAGGCGAAAGAAGGTGAAGGGGGGGGGAATCGAGGTGCCTATATTGCCCAATCGAAAAGAGTCGGGAGATCTTCTTTAACGCGTCATGTCGAATACGTCAACGTGCGCTTGTTTACGTCGTGCTCGCGATTTAGCATTTTTTTCCTCGACATAGTAAAGTTTGACTCCGATTATCTGTTTGCGATTTGCAACGTTAGGCAAGTTTAGGGTCGCGGTAAAGATGCGAAAAACGATAGCGAGTCCCAACGAACAATTGAATGCGTCTCGATATATTCGTGCTTATTTAAATAACTGATTTTCTGCATTTTCGAATACATTATTCACAAAAAATGTTAATGTAACATTTGGTATTTATAACGTGCCTCGCGAAGTCTGCATCAAGAATTTCAACAAAATATATGCTTTAAAAAATTTACAGTCCTATCTTTATACAGAAATTCAAGTTGTTATTATAATCTCGTGATTATTTATCGTTGAAGATAGCAGAAGAGAATAATGTTTAATAAAATTTTTAAAGAAGAGATATTTCTTAAAAATCAAGATAGAATCGTCTTGAGACTTCGAGAAACACGCTCCTGAAATTTCATTGTGCGAGCATATATATCGTATATCATACGATTCGTGTATCATGCGGACACGTGTGACTCGCGGTTCGATTAAACTACACCTACTATGTGCGAGGTGTTGCGATAGAGAACGTCGAGCTAACTCCACGCAATGAATAAGCTACACGTGCGCTGTTTTTATATACGTTTCTAACGCGCGGGTTCGATTCGTTGACGAAAGACCGTCCGCGCTGGCCTGATTACCACTCACAAAGCGAAATGATGCAAAGCTTCTTTATAATCATGCGCAAATACATAGATATACACGACATAATAGCGTTTGCGTCATTCTCTTCCGCGTAAAAATAACTGTAGTAAGTTTCTATGTTTTCCTTTCACTTATCTTACTTATTGTTACTTATTGTTAGCGGTATTGCGTATTTACATTTGTCAATGAACACGTCGTCCGATTAGCAATCATGATATGTTTTGATCCCCGCCGTAAGTTTAATCTCGCGGATTGAAAGTGTCTCTCGTGACCAATCATCTAACATCGTACGGCCGTTCGTAAACATGCGTAACACGCGCCATGTAATTTCTATCCTCTGAAACAATTTACTTTCTCCGCGTCTTACTGTTATTAGATGAATTCTCTCAGAAGTGATTCCAAGTGATTGCCTCATTTTTAATAGCGATCCACTTGAGACACTCGTGCTCGACTGAGATGGCGAGCTTCCGGAGCAGATCCGGAAGTGCTCGTGAGAAGATTTCTAATAATATAATTCGCTAATAATTTGCGAAGTTGGATCGTTCGCGTCGATAGAAACCCGCGCGCCTTTGAGTCATTCCATCTTCGACGACGATTTCTCCGTCAGCTGCGTATCATCGCCTTTCCGTTCCCCCTCTTCGTCGAGGTCGCAACGTCCGCGACGGTATTCGCGACGAGGAACTTTGACCCCGTGTCCGACTGCACACGTGGCACCGTTTACCACGGATCCTCTGTGCGTGTGGCGCGTTCACGCATGCTAAACAACGCGTTTAGCTTGTTCTCACCTAACGCATGACCTTCGTCGATGATATATGGCTCGTTACCAGGCGACAATGCTCGCACATCGCGACAGCTTCTCCGGTGAACGGCGTGTCTCCTTACAATTAGTCCTTCGCTCGAGGAGCGACGCTGATGTCCTTCCTTATCGTTTCAAGCACACATATTATCGCTTCTCCAGATACGCATCACTGGTTCGTGAGGAAACGCTGCGACGATGCGTCATCGCAATTGATACTTTCTTTACGACAGCCACCGACCGCGGCTCTCCTGACCGCGCCTCTCCAAAGATCTCGATAGTATAAATAAAGATTTATTTGGACGAAAATACGAGATCTATGTGATATATCGCTTCTACGTTGTATTGTTTCGTAATCGCGGCGGCGCCTATTGTGTTTGACGTCACTTTCGACACGATGCGTATTTTGAATGCGGGGTCAGTGTTGTTAATTGCGATTGCCGCCGTTGATTCTAAAGTTCATGGAACGATTGCAGAAAGTTTTGGCAAAAACCTGAAATGTGTGAAAAACTTTAAATTTGTGTAATACATTTTGTTTTACATATATACCCCGCAAACGTTATGACTTCGTAGTGTCTCCGATGTGCTGCTTTACAAATTTTATCCACGATATTTGTGAAAAAATTCTTTAATATAAGATTATAAGTTATAATTTATAACATTATATTATAGCTACAGAAAAGAAAAGGAGAAAAAGTTACACGTTAACCGAATTTCTTCCATAAATTAGTTATTAAAGGAAACGCATATATCTGGTGTACTTTAAACATATAATATATTCATTTATATGCTTGTACATATTTCATATTTTTTTTATACAACAAAATATCTATGACAATACAGTTGAGAACGGTATACAATATATGTATATATGTATATATATTATTATGTTAATTCACATAAATATGAGATGTAAGACAGCCTCGTTCTCTTAAGATGTAATCGTGTCGTGATTGCGTAAAATACATAAGTATACTCTTGATTACTTTGATATCCAGTCTTTCGATATAGCATTTTCTTTGTCCTATCTTGCGTATAGTAGATTTGATACGATAAAATTTTTCTCAGCAAAAAATTGACAAATGAAGTTGACATTATTTGTCTTGATAAATAATTTATTTAAGATTAAATAATAGATCCATATAAAGTAAAACGTCGAATATTTAAAGATCATTATTGGATCAAAACTCACAGTTGTAATTCTGATCCATGAACACACAAGTAACGAAAGTATTACAAATGCATTTACAAGAGTACTTTCGGATATTGCAAGAATGTGATAAAATAGGCCAATCGGTTCGCATCTCGCACAAGTCGGCGAGCGGACGCTTCCTTAAAAATTTCGAAGCGACTACCGTTCGTTAACTCTTCAATAAGAGAGAATATCCGTTAGTGAAAAAATATGCTATTTACACGTAAGATATCTAATTGTGCGTCGATTCATTAACTCGCCGTTTGGAGTGTATCAAAATCTACTTAATGGGACAATGAAAAATGATTTCACATGCTGTACAGATTTTTTTTCCATGTGCGAGGGATCGTGTACGTATGTGTAGGTACTTATATATATGTGTGTGTGTGTGCTCTCAGTTCGCTCATGGAGCCATGTAAATGCGACGAGCGCAAAGAATTATGCGCCGTTAAGTGGATTGATCCGATAAGAAAGACGTTAACAATAAGTATTAAATATCGAGATAATGTCATTTTGCAGTAGGCATCGATAATGGCAAGCACAAAATGGCAGTAGAGGTTCGTGGCAAGAAAATATCGTAGAACCGTCGTGTCCTATGTGTTTGAGCGTGAAAATGAGATAATAACGTGTTCCAGTTAAACGAGTGCTTGAATTTTAATTGTTATCTTTACAGGGACACGCGAATTCCAGATCTGATTAACCACCGAGTTCCGACAGCAACGAGAAATACTTAAGGAATAAAATTGGAGAGCACATGAATATGTTTGTAGACACTAGACAGTTTGATATTTTCTGATCGGAGCGGGAATTTTTTTTTTTGCTTTCCGTGTATAATTATTAGACACTTTGCAGACCTTCACATCTTTGTATCCGTGCGATCAATTTTATGCTGTAGACGCCTAAGTACTTAAGCCTTAATCCCAGAACATTAAATTAATGTACATTGTTAAAACAATTAACGTATAATAATTAAACATTTTTAAATATATCTCCCTATTTTCTGGTGTTTATTGTCCAAACGGTTAATGGTACGATCGAAAAACGATGAATTTCGCATTGCGACATGTATGACATATCCTGTTTCAAATTAAGACTTACTATTGTTAACCGAGATTTTTTAGAATTGAACGCAATGCTTCAAAAGCCGTGATGATGTTGAAGAGATTTTAGATAAGTCGCGTCTATCATCTAGATTCTTCACAAAGTATTCGATCAAACACGGCACACTGTCTTACACTAATGCATGCACACCATACATATATGTATATATAAAGCGTTGTTTGGATTATACAATACAAATTTATTAATTTTTTTTATAATAAAATATCCAATTCTCTATTTATACTACTTCGCACGGAGAACAATCAACTCCACACGAGACATGTCCTGCTCTTCCCGCAAACCTTTAGCAAACACGAATATGCGATACACACGACAGACATCGATTCTTCATATTTTTACAATTAATTTTTTATATATCCTCCTGGCTCTTACGACCGAGTTTTTAATTAACGCCATCTTGTCTCTCTGGACGGTGCTTGTGGCACAGACCTGAGCGATTCAGCGGATTATGCTTCTCTTTTCCGTACATTGATATGCTACTTAAATGTGCCGAACGATCGCTCATATAGTCATGATAATTCTAATACCTCTTAACATCTGCAATGCAACGCAGTTTTGCACGCAGACTTACGCGTATAGGACGTACGTGAATAGTATAATTAGCGTTTTCTCCGACAAATTTGCCGCAAGCTCGACTCTCCCTGTTAAAGTAATGTTGGATGATTCATGAATGGGGCTTGGACATCACGTGGAAATGATTATCGCAGCTTCTTTTCAATATAATAAAGTATAGCAAACCCGAGAGACTAAAGCTTTCAATGCCAGTAGGCGTACGTCATTAGTCTTTATCTGCCGAATGTAAGGTCAATGACTACCCTAGGAACGACTTTTTTGCTTTGCTCTCGTTATTCCTTTTTATACTTACGATTAGTGATCCAATTGGCACGCGCTGCGTGCACGTTAAATAAATACTTTCGAAAGTGCGTATAAATCGGTGTATAATGTATTACATTAATATATTAAACAATTCGGCTTCTCTCTAGGCTCTTGTTAGAGGATTAGGATCCTTTCCGACAAGTAAATTATGATAATGAGTATATTATACTGAATACATTTAAGTGTCTTTCTCAAGAAAAGTAACGCCCTCGTGTAAGAGTTGTCTTTTAAGAGCGAATGTTAACTTGCAAAATTCAGATCCGTGAAGTATTCGGTGAGCCAATTATTCACACCTTTCGCGTTTGTTTTTACCCAGTGGATGTTGAACTTTATCATTTCTAAACTCTGCTGCAGAGTGCGATTACCGCTGCGAATGTCACGCCCATGCTGCTTGAAGAATTCCGAAACCTAAAAAAAAAATTGCAAAATATTTTTTTCGTGGCATAACTTTTAAAGAAGTTTAAGCTCAATTACTTTCGAGAAATTGACTTAAAAAAAAATGGCTTTTCCTTACTTCGCAATAATCGTACTCCGTGATGAAATAGTCAGGAACAACGTTAAGTATGAGATTGTTTATCGAGAGCGATTCATTCATATACAAAGCTTCTATTTGCGGCCAATAAGCTTTAATATGACGCCAAGCGAGATAATATCCGTGTGGATTGGCAGCGACGGACGTTATGACGGTATTAACTTCTTGCGCCTTAAGCAGATTCCGATTCAACGAAAGTCGAAGATAACGTTTGAGTAACCAAGGATCCCTCGACGCACCTAGGGCTTGCAACATTAATAACTTCTCGCTCTGGCTTTGCGTCTTAAGATAAACCTGCCAGCAATGCTGCCAATCAGCCTCCTCTCCGAATTTGATGCCTGAAGCATATATATATATTTGCATTGCAAAATACTTTACTTCGCGTTTCTCTAATTTAAGGATATTATATAAATATCCTTAAATTTCTTTACCTGCCATATAAACGATATTCCGTATATTGGGTGCGATGCGTTTGCCTTTCGATATCCAGTCTTGAAAAAGACTCCTTGCAGACTTCACCACATCATTCATTTCTAATTTGATAGCGGATTTCAGTACTGCGATTCTCAATAATCTGCATCAAGATAACAAAAAAATTTGGATAATGTGCTATTCGTTGCGTCATTGGATATCCAACAAGTTGTTCTGAATGCTATACTAACTTTTTCAAGTGAGATCCCTCATCTGTCCAGCCAATGTATCTTGTAATCGGACCCAACAGTTGCTTAAAGAATAAGATATATTTCTTATACGCTGCACTCTCGGCCAGTCTGCCTTTCCAAGATTTCAAATAACGAAGCGCGGTTTCCCATGGCGCGTAATCTGTTTCGTTAACGAGGTAAAGCAAAAGCTCCAGTGGGATCGAAGCATCCACCTCGCCCGCATTACAAAGCGAAAACGCATCGTCGATGAGATTTGCCCGATCTGCCGGACTGAACTTGGTGTGATTCTTCATCAAAGTTTTGATGATCGAGGTCCACATCTCCTTCGGATAGTTTACTCGATAAAAGCCCGTTTGGTTGATGTTGCATTTGATGTAATCTACGTCGCTCGGTATATCGAAAGTCGCTAAGTAAAACATAAAATACTCGTCTTAATTTCTCAATCAGGATTTGAAGGAAAGGGACGTAGCAAATGCATACGTTTTATATTGAACACTAAATAGACTAATAAATTTTAATGTAATTGTTACCGTTGGTCATATTCATCCACACCTCCATAGGAGATTCCATCGGGTCATCCTTGTCTGTGTAACAGTTCAACGGGATGTACCACTTGTAATTGAAGGGTGATTTGGGTTGCGAAATGTTTACTCCAGTTTCTCGCGGCGAAGCAAGGAATCTTTTTTGTGTCGCCGTGATAGTACTGTCTTCACGGATGATGGTAACAAGTGGGAAGCCCATTTGTTGGATCCACGTGTTCATTATGGTCTACCGAAATTTTTTAATCATATTAAATACGAGAACGCGCGAAATAATTATTCTCACACATTGCACTTACTTTCACGTCAAGATCCGTGCTAATAGATGTATTTTTGGAATGTTTTGTAAAAACGTCCCACAGATTGTTGGTCTCCGTATTTCCATACGCGTGCAGATTTAGATAATCGTTTAGTCCGCGTTTAAAAACATTCTCGCATAAAACTACTTCCAACATGTAGAGGATGGAAGCGCCTTTGAAGTAGCTGACCGTATCGAATATGCTTTCTATCTCGACGGGGTTTTCAACGGGCACGCTTACCGGGTGACTGTTGGCTAGGGCATCGAGTTCGAGTGCTTCTTGCGTTTTGTGTAATATGAATAAATCCATCATGCCCCATTCGGGAAAAATGTGATTCACGCCTTTGTATTCGAAGAACGTCGCGGCACCCTCGTTCAGCCACAGATCATTCCACCATTTCATTGTGACGAGATTGCCGAACCATTGATGAGCCAATTCGTGAGCCATAATAACGGCTATGTATTCCTGTACTTCAGTAGATGTTTCTTGTTGATCGTACATTAAAAATGATTCTCGAATAGTAATTAGGCCCCAATTTTCCATAGCGACGGGCTCAAAATTAGGGATTGCTACTATATCTAAGTGCAGAAAAATATGTCTTACAAAATATTATATATTCAAACAAAATATTAACAGTTCTTTGATGATTATGCTTTATTCTTTATTTGAGGAGGGCATACCTTGCTTTGGCAAAGGGTAAGGTATGCCAAAGAAAGATTCAAAGTAATCCATAATACGAGCAGCAGTGATCATAGCATACTTCATATGCGGAAGCATATGCGATGTGGCGTACACACTTACAGATGTATTTCTCTGTGTTAGTTCGAAAACTCTTTTAAAATCGCATACCACAAAAGCTACCAAGTACGTCGACATGTCTACGGACTCTTGAAAGTCATCGCGTAGCTGAAAAGTAACATTATTCTGGATGAGGCTAATGCAAATGCAATCACTCGCAGATAATATCATAATTGCGATAATGTAGCTTGTTGCACTTACGATCGGCATAGTGAGAAAGGTGATACTTTTAAGATGAAAGAAACCTAGCCGAAAGATTGCGAAAGCTTTCACATTGAATTAAATGCGTACTTACGAGATTTGTGCCCAAGTAAAATCCAGCCTCCTCAGTATTTATCGCAGGCATGTTACATAACGCAATGTGAAATCTATCCCTATATATTGATATCTTAAATTTAGCTTTAAATTGTGGTTCATCGAAACATGGAAAGGCCATGCGCGCGTATGTTGGTTCGAAGCGAGTTGAAGCCAAATATCTAGAAATTAAAGAAAAAATTTAAAAGCCTTAATAGCAAGGCATGAATTATCCATTCGTCATAAAGGGAATAATTATATAATTTCAAAGTTACCTGTATTCTCCTTCAGGAGTGATGTAACTGTTAAAATAGAACCCTTTAAGCTCAGTAGAATTCAACGTCGAATTAAAACTCAGATATAGCGTGTAATTGTTCTTTTTTCGAAATGATGTGTCCTCCAATTCCAGATACAGCTGTTCGCGTTTCGGATATTCGAGCAACTTTGCGATTTTTAGCTCTTCTTGATCATCTTTGACTATCTAAAAGTCAATTTTCGAAAATTAAATAAAGACGGACATTGACATGTAAAATGTCAATCATCATGTGTGCGATCGTAGCTCGGTGTTATTTACCTGTTCCTTTATTGTCAAATTTTTACTATGAAAGACGATAAATTTGGTCTCTTCATCGACGAAGAATTCGATTGTGACTCGTCCTATAAATAAAAATAGACAGTAAATTTATTACATGTAAAAGAGAAGATAATATGTTCTTTTATTTAAATGCAAAACTTTTTAAACTTACCTCTAAATTCTAAGGTGGTAAGATTTGGATGCATGGTAATATTGTACCTAATAGGATGTGCAAAGGCAGGTAATCTTATGTTATCCCATGGAAATACCTGTAAAATTTTCATTATATTCGATCTATCTTGAGTGAAGTTATTATAAAATATAAATGACCAAAGTAAGTAGACCTATTGTCATAATTGCACCTATTGATTAATCTTTCGCTATGCTATATCATATTTGTTTCAGTTTAGTCAATATTGTAACTTAAAATTTCTACTTTTTTCACAAGTAAATAAGTTTTTTTTAAATTTTACAATATTACTAAACGTACAATTAATTTATTTAATATAAATAATTTATAGAAAGCATAATATATTTTTCAATTAAAGAAGTATTTATACAGTTTAACTTGAATCAAATAAAGCAATTTTTTAAAAACAATTAAGAAAAATGTAATTTTTTGTCTTTCATATTATTAATATTTTCATATGTAATATACATCCAAATGTACGTACCTCTCCATTTTCCATCCGAGGCACGGCGTTTTCTTCGTCATCCATAGCTTTACTTAAATCGTCTTGAAGACAAGTGCAGCCTAAAAAAAGAAATGATATGTGTTTAAAGATACGAAATAAATGTGACAAATGCGATTTTTATGCAGAAATTAAATTTGCGACGTTTAAATATACGATTTAATATTTATGACGCTCGCTCAAAATGGAAATTTGACATTTAAATACCAGTTCGGAAAGGCGCCAAGGCGATGATAAGTGATGCAACGAGAAGTACCAGGCAGCAAATACAAAGTACACAATAAGTCTTTCTTTCAGAACATCTAACGACTTCATTTGCGCGCTCGTAAAAGTTACGTCTGTGCAATCCTGCATTGCTATCTTCTGGAACAAAGAATCTTCTGCAGAAACGTTCGCTCCAATATCATGTAATTTTCTATAAATGTTGTTATAAATTTCGCAGTAATTGCAGAAAATTTACGATCAATTAAAAAAAAAAAAACATAATACGTTGATTTTTTCGAAACTTATGAGCGAAAAACACTGGGATCCTCCAGACCTCAGTGTAGCTTACACGTGTGCAAAAAATAAGTGTGGTCTACAAGGGTTAAGACGAACAAGTAAATGTTTAAACCTTATATATATTTATTAAAAGTAATTCAGATTTCGTAAATGTATGGCAAATATTAAAAATATATTAAACTGATCTGTATATGAATGATACGTTTATTTTTAAAACATTTAAAATATTTATTTTAAAAGATTTGATTATACAAAAAAAGAAATTTCTAAGGAATATATTATGTATTCTATTCTTTTAATGAATTCTATTCTATATCTTCAAAATTATCTTTGAACGGACAATATTTATTATATTCTTGTCAACATTTTTGCATTGTAAAAGGCATCTTGTATTACAAGATGTACAAAAATTCTTTTTTCTTAGACATTTTTGCGTAGAGTCAATACATCAGCTTCATTTCATTTAATTATTAAAATTGATAATTTTTTAACAAAAATCAAATAAAGTAAATCTCTACATTTATAAATCTTTAAAAAAGCTTATATCGTTTTCAAAATGGGCAATTTGTATAAATTATATAACATGCGTAACGTATATAACATTTTTTGCTAATATATTTTGTTACATAGTCGCGCTGGTCGCGCACATACATAGATACATTGAAATCATTGAACAACATTATCAACTCGTCATACGTATCTATTTCCGCTGTCAATAAAGAGACCTTAGTAACAAAAGCCGTGGGTGGGTGGATTGCGATACAACCGCGTGGGGTGAGAACGAAGTGTTCACGCTTTAATTCAAAAGATCGGAGGAAGCTTTCGTTTTATTGATCGCACACACGTGCTTCATAGTCTATTCGCGGCTCGCGGAGGGCTGTAAGTGGGCCATCTGGCCGAGCTGTTCTTATAGAAAAGGAATTGTCTAGGTATAGCAGACACTTATTGTGTATATCGGAGTTAAAGTCCAAAGCACGCGTTCGCATTCTAATCCCCAGCCAGTCACCTATAGGATAGGACATCTCACCTGTCAGAAAAGCATCCTGCTCGCTCATCGCGAACCGATTCGGCGGCGGTCTCCGATGAACGAGTTCTTTTACCTGACCGTCTTTCGAGGCATAGGCGACTTTTATGAGCGGCTCTCTCTGTTCAGCCAGTATTTGCTCGGATACTCGATCGTCGCCTCCTAGCGTCTCTCTTGACCGAGTTTTCGCCACTGTACCGTTGTCTCAAGGTTGAAGCCTCAACGAGGAAGAATTTTGATTTTGATGGACGGCGTTTGAAATTCGATTCACCGTGAAGCCGGCTCGTGAGTGCTGCCGCAATTATTCGAGCCGCATCAATTACTATCGGCTCAAGCCTTTTGATCATCCGCTACACGCAATTGCGCCAATGTGGCCGGATTGAGTCGCGTCTATCTTTTTTTTAGACGTAACTTTGGGCGGGCCACAACCGGTAATTTTAACCCTTTATTAATAATACGCATGAGATATGAACGTGTGGGATTCAATCGGCAAAACCGACAAGCACCAGAAACGGATCGCGAGCGGCGACGCGCGACCTCGAACGATCGGCGTCCCTCAGTCGGCGTGAACGCGCTGACTCGTGCGTAACGCGGACGCACCGAGTACCACCACCGGGACCGGGACTTTGTGCAACACCACCGCCAGCAGCACGCCAGAAATCAACCCCGCTGCGAGGAACCGCCAGTACGCGAGGAACCGCGAGCTTATGAAACCCGAGCCGAGTAGCCCGACACCGTCGGCGAATCTATAGCGCGCGGCATCCCCTTGACATTTCATTGGCATTAAAGGCGTGGGATATAGCTACTGCGGAGTTAGGCAGAAATGGCGGCTTTCCAAACCCCCTGGTGGCGGACTGCTTTACGGGGGTGGTTTTGCCGGTCCTCAGCAGTCGGGGGTGGTTGGCATTACGGTGGCGCCATCCTTGATCCATGCTTTGCAACCCCTTCGTTGGTGGTGGCCCATCGTGATATTGGTCTCGGCCGCGGGAGCAGTCAACCGGACAATGTCGGGGATTTATAACTTTTCACTTCGGCTTGCGTGATATTATGAAGTTACATCGATCCAACGCAAGAATGTCGTTTATATTACATTTTTTCTAATTATACTTAATTATACTCGAAAGCTTGTTACCTTGACTTTACAAAGGAATGAAAAGATTTACTCGCACTTAATTTGAGTGGAGAGAGACTTGAGATATTTGAAAGCATAGCAGAATTTTTCGTACTTGAGATAAATTACCATCTTCCATCATTTCTTTTCACACTACTCTTTCCCTTAAAAAAAATTGTTAGGACAACTTGGTTTTATTGCTTATTAAAAAAATTTATTCCGCAAGAGCTTTATTTTTTTTACATTTTGCCAAAATTAAGAAAAAGAGATTTATATGTGTATTTATGATATATTATACATAATAAAATTTTTGTTAATGTGCTAATTTACATTTGAATTTATACATATTGTATTAAAACTCTTTAATTCCCAATTATTTATAATTCAAGTCTTTATTAATATTACAATGTCAGAATAATGAAAATTATTTTTAATTTGGATTCTATTATATATTGAAACATTGCATTGCATTATTAATAGTATAATAAACTGATTTCATATTTTTCATACATAAGTTTAGTTTATTTTTTTTATTTTTTGTACGATAAATAAAGTAGAACTGTGTAGAATGTTGTTTCTAGCCTAAATAGACAGCCAATGTATGTAGCTATATTCCACTACGAGATCTGACCCTTTTGAGATCAGAATCGCTGGCGAATTGCAAATGGATCAGTTTGTTCGAGGGGTACCATATCGATTTTCTTTTCTCCACGCAGCCCCTCTGACAATCACATTACATTCATTTACGAAATGACATTCGTGCTTCTATTGTATACAGAAGAAGCTTTTTTGATGAACTTTGTGGCAATTAAATTCGGTAAAAATTTAAATTTAAATATTAAAGAAAAGTTGAACGTCTTTAGAGAAGACATAGCTATAAAGCAACATCATTTTTATTGACACACAAAATTAATTTAATTTTGAAGCAAAACAAGAATATTTACCAAATTTTATTTTAGACAATGCTATAGTTATTTTTTCGTAAATTAAATTTTCACGAGAAACGTTTCCAAAAGTACGTTTGCAAAAATATCTGCGAATCGATAAAGCTTAAAAGTTAATAATGCGCATGCCAATTTCGATATTGACGCCGAATATGGACAGAAAGGGAATGTTTATAAATATCTATGATTGAACTTTTGACCTTATGACCCCTCGCATTTTGTCCTCGCTGTTACAGCGAGACTGTTTCGACTGCGAGAGAGAGAGAGAGAGAGAGAGAGAGAGAGAGAGAGAGAGGGGCGTTGTATAATATAAATTATTCAGATATTTCGTGGTCGTGAATCTCGCGCTGCTTCAAAATATATGTCGTATCTGATCAAACGGATTCTGACGCTAGGCGAAACGTATTGAAACATTCATGCGCTTTCCGACTGCCATATGTTCGTCGAAGTTACGTGTCCCGAAAGGCTAGCGTTATAAACGCCGACCTTTTTCCCGGTCGGTTTAATTTCGAAACACGTAACTGTTAGTGACGAATCTTCCGGTAATCAGCTAAACGCGCCGATAAATAAGAGAAGAAATTAAGATGTATGAGACTACTATGAAGATCGTAAATTTGAAAATTATCTTCCGTCTAAACCTAACTTTAGAGTTTCTAAAGATTTGCATCGCGAGCAGGTCACGAAGGGCAACAATTTGAAAATTTTAAATGTATGCTAATCTATGTGGTCACGCGAGAATCAAGGGAGCGCTATCTTAAATCTACCTAAGCAGTATTCACGTTAGGATCAAGTTTATTAAATTTGAATAACATGAAGTCACAAGAGCTATCTGAGCAGAACATAATGTAAGTAAATCTACGCCAAATATCGTGTGGATCGTTGCGACATATAAAAAAAAATCTTGTAATAATCAATAAGACGCGCGTGCACATTACTTTCTATCCGAAATAGTTTCTCGGAAGAACCATGCGTGGCCAATCAATAAAAATTATCGTATACGTTTTACTTGTCTTTTCGTTAAAAATTATTTCTTTATCGATTGCATCTTATTGTATAATTATTGAATTTATTATATCCATAATAAATCCAATTTTTTGCATAATGCAATTCATAAGCATATCTTATATACATGTATACTTTGTATCGTGTAATAAAAATTTAACGAAACACAACAAAATGTTACACGTACCTAAATCACATGTCTTTCTTGCGGCGTGTCTTAACGGTGCCTTCGCATCTATTTCTGCACGGTCCATTGATTCGTTTCGCCTAGGCGTCCTAGACAAAGGCTCCAACTGGATATTTTCGCTGCTATCCTTTTCCGGACTTCCTTTCGGCATCTTACCTCTACTTTTCTATTTTCCTTTTTACCTCGGCCGACCTTTTATTCGGCAAAGTCGGAGTTGCGCGCGGCAGGAACTTTCTTCTTTGTTTCTGAGTTGCTTCGTTTGTCGAGTGACATGCTTCGAGTTTGCGGCTGATTGGCGTCTTGCTAATTATCGCTACTTTACGTAGTACACTCGAAAAATAAACGTCGGAGCCGTAGACCTTTCTGCCATCTTTAGATATCCCCTGTCTCTCACGATGGTATCGATCGCCGCCCTTTTCCTATATTGGATGTAATGTTCATGTCGAAAATTATATGGAGCTACTATCTTGGTAGTCGTGACTTGGTTAAGTTCCTCTACATCGGCACAGTACACCCGTACATGCACGAGTATTTTATGTCGACAGCACTCGTATTGGTCCCGATATTACGATATGTTGCGTTTACTGGCATGAACGTTCAGCTTTATTTGGTCGCAGTAAAAGGTTTCGTATAAAAATGGTCGATAAACGTGATCGGCGATCAAACCTGCCTTCTTCGAGATAGTGCACATCGATTAATGAAAAATTAATAGCATTTTAGTACTTTCTTTGTACATAATATCATATTGATTCAAAATAGAAAGATATTCTCTGATTCTGTTAATCGATATAGTTTTTCTTCTTTTTTCTATTTAATCGAACATATGTGTCTTTGTATGACACGAGGCTGAATAATTGCAAGCTAAAAAGCTCATGATATATACTTTAATAAATTATAGACAGCAGTTAATCAGTCTTCTATTTCGTATCCCATGTCGTTGATCAACTTTAAATATAACGATATGTGTTTCTCTGCCAAAAGTCGCTATATGTTCAATCAATTTACATCTGCAACATAATTGAGCATTACGCGTGATTAACATTTCTTTATTCACAAGTGTAATAAGGTTGTAGTTCAAAACAGATATTAATAGAGGTAGTAAGAGTTATTCTCGTCAAGCTTCACTGTTGGATCAATACTTTCAGAATAAATATCTATTCATAATAAAAGAGTCAGAAGTAATAAAAAGAATATTTACATAAAACATTTTACATGCTTCTTTGCAATTTTGATCAATTTTGTTTGTGTAACGTTGTTAAATAACACGTTTTGTATATACCTTGCTATAATTTTATTATGTTATAAACAATTTGTTTATTTATTGGCTGTGCTTCTCTTAATAAATATCGGAGTATCATAGCTTCCATAAGCTTCCGTGGTATTAAGTGATATTTATATCAAATCGTTACACGCTTAATTTAATCACATAATGAACAAATAATTTAGAACGCAATTATGGCGCTTATTTGCGCGAATATGCATGCAAATGAAAAACAAGATTATGAAAATCAGTATTTGGAATTGTTAATTGTTGTTATCGTAGATAAACATACGGCATTATACCGATGTTCAAGGCCTATACGCGAAGCATAAAAGCAATTATACTCCAACTTATATGCTTTCGACTTAACTATTATGAACGATGCGTACGCAACGATAATGGGTTTCATCCGATTTGTTATGGCGATCTTTTGTTAGGAAGTTTTTGTGTCTAGAATAATGCATTATATAACATTATGTTACATTCTTGATTTCAGAGAGAAGTTAACTATCATAGAAAAAATGCATTTAGCGAAATATTACGTTTCATTGATGATATCTCTCTAATTCTCTCGTACGTGCATCTATACATTTTTTAATTTACAATTGAAAACTTATTGTTAGACTAAAATAATTATTGCAGTATTAGATAAAATAAAATTAAATAATCTTATGTTTTTCTTATTATTTGTACACGATACTTTTGAAAATAAAAAATTAATTAATATTGTTATAATTAATAGAATATTTACGAATATTACTTAAATATTTTGTTTATATATACATTAAAACTAATTAAATGTACATACATTTTTACTTATATATCTTAAGACTATAATATAATAATCCTATAACTGCAAGAAACAAATTAATGCTGAACAAAAATCTATTTTAGGTTTAATAGAAATGAAGAAATTGAAAGAAATAAATTAAAGCCAAATTCTGATTTATTTCAATTTTATTGAATGCTGCGTATGTAAATACACATGTGTATATGTGTAAAGAGCATGCGATATATGTATAATAGAGCACCTCGTGACAGAACATTGACCCTACCCGATCCAACTGATCGGATCTCTCATTAACTACGAGAGACACGACTGAATGAAAATGCTAATGAGTGAAACGCTGATATTTAACATAATTAAGAGAGAAAAATCAGATAATTTGAAGTTTATGATAATGTTTTACTTAATGATCAATTTTTCTACTGTATCTGTATAATTACTGAATTTACGTAACATCACAGTTTTGTGTTTATCTCGCGTGCAATTAGGATTAAGTGACATTTGATCAGATTTAAACTACAGAGAAAAGAAACACTCACCTTTCTCTGATCGCATTCAATATCGATCAGCAGCCTATATCCGATATTCGTTTCTTGAGAATGTAATCTCTCCCCGTCGTCGTCGTCGATCGCGGCTAATCACGGACGGTCGCTAATTGCGCATCCTTCCTCAACGAACGCAGTTCTCCTCTTTCACTCACGATCTGGCCATTTCCCTCTTTTTCAGACAGTATCCGCACATTTTTTGGCACTTCGCGGCCGTTTGCAATACGCACGCAGACAATTTGTTAAACTGTCAATCGCCGTATCGTCATCACAACATCTCGGTAAGCTGACGCGCTCACGTCACCCCCGGAGGGTTGCGTCGCGGCGCTCCGTGCGCGATTTGTCCTTTGTCGCATCAACGTTACACTTGCATCCGACGCGCATTGCCGTAGCCGCTGGTAGCCGCTGCCGGCGACGATCCGCAGGTCGTGGCACGGCGGGTCGGGGTTTTCCTCGGCGTGAGGTTGTCGATGCAAACGGCCGCACGGTGAGAATGGCACTGACTAGAAGCGCTTTGAGGATTGAGAGCGTGGCTGAATTTCCGGAGGGAGGCGCGCCGGTCAGGATCAGCCACAGGTTGCGCCCGTCTCGTTCACGCAGGCTGGGGCATCTTGGCTGATCGTCGGCTGGCGAGGGTAGTAATGGTGGTGGTGGTGGGGTATGCACCCCAACGGGGGAGAAAGTCGGCGAGAAAGAGAGAGAGAAACGGGAGAAATCGATTTACTTAACATCTAGGACTCTTTGGCCCTTTCACAATCGTCAGCCAGGATTTGGTTCGCCGACGATCGCAATATTATGTAATCGCCGCCGTCGCGACCGAGCTTGCAAGTCGATTTCGTCTGACTTGCGTGGCAAACGAGCGATACCAATGCGGATCATGCACATGATTGCGTTTCAATTTTAAATTTAAATTTATTCAGGACTAGCTTTCATAAAAGCATTGATAGCAATAATAAAAATCCATTAATAATTAAATTGTTCAAACTTTTCGCTATTTTCGTAAGTCTCAACTTTATAATATGTAATTTCTGCGAAATTCTTTTCGTAGAATAATTTTTATGATATGTCTGTCAATCATTATTTATTAACTGTCCAGTATTTAAAAAAAAAACACTCTTCTTCGGGATGAGACAAACTACTTGGTATATTCCTTTTATCTGTTTTCTTTGAGTCAGTAACCACACAGTACACAGCTGGTGACGCCATATACATTTTAAGGTTTCTACAGAGTGACGGAAAGCTAATATAAAAATAAAATATTTGAATCTTGTGGATATATGGAATTTTCACAATTTCTTCCGGGACAGTACAATCTTTCTCTTGTTCAAAAAGAAGAAATAGCGTTGGTTACATAGCACACTATTATCAGACATATGTGATAAAGGAAACAATTCTTTTGCGTAATTTCTGTAAAGTTAAATATGATTTATCAACAATTTTAAAAATTTAATACTTTTTCTTGACAGATCTCCTTGAATTTTATTATTATTATATAATTATTTGTCCTGTATTGATCAATTAGACACTATAATATTTTAAAATTTAATATAATAAATGTTTATACTAAATTGAACTTCTTCGTAAAAGAAATAAATAAAATAACCAAATAATATGTATTTTATTAAATAGTTTCTTCTGATTCTAACTTCTTGACCAAGTTGAAATATACGAGATAAGATATCTTTGATAAAGAATTAGCTGTCTGAGAAAAATTCCTTTGCACGACGATATCATGAAGCGCGTGCTGTCTTTTGAGAAAGTACCTGACGGAGCTATCTTAAGGCAAGATGCATTCAGTAAGTGTAGTGACGACTTCGTCATGCTCTTTTCTCATTGTATTCGTAATTATTGTAATGACACCGTCGCGCATTTTGTAGATGTCATTTCATGGCGGCGTCATAGAAACTATTCTGTTTCAAGGCTGGCGCATTGATAACGCGCAGGGTATGGTCGGTTCCGTAATCGGTGTCATTCTTTTAACCGCATTGTACGAAGGGCTAAAATCTTATCGGTGAGTAAATATTTATTAAAAAGTGAAGTTCGAGCATTCAGTTACGTAACTCGTGCATTGCAGTGAATATCTCTTCTCGCGCACGACGTTTCTCAGGAAGAACCAGCAGAGGAAATCGAGAAAGTATGTGTGAACGCTGCTTATTATTTGTGTAAAATATACAATTTTATCACACTGTTTATTGTTACAGTGCACTGTTGTTTTCCGGAGTGCATTTCTTTCAAACGCTTCTGCATGTGATCCAAGTGGTGCTCGGCTATTTTCTCATGTTTATTTTTATGACGTACAACTACTGGCTCTGCATCGCTGTTGGAGCTGGAACAGCTCTTGGATATTGGCTATTCTCGTGGGAAAAAATTAATAATAACAATACAGATTGTTGTTCGTAAATGCACTTTTAAAATATTAAATTTGACATTTTTTAATTATATATAAAACACATTAGATAATTAAATATTTTTTCTAATAAAATAATCGGTTCTTTGATTATAGAAGCAGTATAAATTGCAGAAGCTAACGTCAGAGTGGTAGCCAATATTTTACTATATTTGTGTGCATGTATACAAGAATAAATCATATTTTTCGTAATTAATTAATACAGTAGTCTTTTTATTCAATTAATAGGCGTGATAGCGTCTCGCGGAACATATATCTAATATAGCAGCAAACTTTGTTAAAAGAAATTAATTATTTATATCTGAATGAACAAACAAGTCTCAGGTTAATAATTTAACTTATTCTTGTACATTAATCTTTAATCGATACAGTTTTACATTTTGAAGAAAGTGTATGTATGACAACTTTGAAGAAACCTTATCTAATCTAATCTAATTTATGGCCAGATTTCATTTATTACTGGTATCGGTGTTTCATTTATCAGCAGACTGCAGACGTAAGTCAATTCTCTGATGTCGAATATTTCGTCATTCATCGAAAAGAGCGTTTAACACGATGACGAATAATCAAAGTAGCTCAAAAATTTGTTGTTCGCAATCCAATGAGCATCAGTTTAGATCAGTCCGTCATATTATTTTCGGATGGGACAGATTCAATTCCATATCGTGGTTGTTACTATTAGTGCTCTTCTGCATTTGGTGTATAACGTTTTTCTGTACTTACGAACCGGGACCGATAAAAGGTGATCATGATCATGATCATGATCATCATTAAAACGATGAATGTGTATGGAAAAATGAAATATAATTATTACTGAAAAATGGAGAAAAACGTAAGTATTTAAATTACTTTTACTATTATTTAATAACAAGTGTTTGCAATAATTAATACCTGTGAATGCATGTCATAAAATTCTTTCGCATTCTTTCGCACGTTGATTTGTTTAAAGTCACTTGTTTATCTGTTCTTTTCAATCATTTTTTATCGTAAACTGGCATGATAAAAATAAACATCTTTCCGATATAATTTAGCAAGAATATGACTAATTTATTTTATTGATTTGTTTAGATAAGACTGAACAAAATTATCAACGGAATATGAACGGAATCATTGGACTTTTACGAATTTAATAAAAGGAGTTTTCTGAGAGAAAAATTGAATAAATGTTTAAAATTAATAATTTATTAAATTATGTTTTAAATAATAAATTGATAGAAACAAATATTTTTTGCAAAAAAACCATTTATGATAACAAAGTTTGGAAAATCGACCATTAACTGGACTTTACTTACAATTTTTCGCCTTTCCTGTTATTTAAGAACGAGCTGCACTTTTCGAATTCGTTTAGAGAGCGTCCCTTTTCTATCCTATACGAGGAATTACATTTGGGAATTGCGAATCCCAGGAGGAATGCCACAGCCTATGCCTAACCCATTTGAAGCGTGCACGATCGCACCGGAAATAGATGACAGCATGGTTGATATGGGGAAAAATAAAACGATATTAGGCTAAAGTAATTTTTATGCGTGCTTATGTCTATTATGCTAATTTCTTTTCAATTATAAATAGTATTTCAAACATGCTTAATGTAAATAAATAAGAAATAATAATGCTTTGAGCATTTCTCGCGATAATAATATTTGAAGTACATATAAATTTATTACAGTGCCCAATAAATACTTGAAAAAATATTCTTATTATCAATAAGAATCATATTTTTAAATATATTAATTACATTATTTATTAATATACATTTTGCATATTATTAGCTTTTTCTAATAACGTACTAAATATTACGTACTCTAAATTTTCTTCTACATTCATGCTGATTTAATGTTACATACCTGTAATGTATAGAGCGTATTTAGCAATAAATGCACAGAACGTGCATCACCGTGTGATTTATACAAAGCATCGTTGTGATTGAATGTCTCGGTGCAGACAGAGTGACATAAGAACTATGCTTCTGAATATATATCGAGGATTAGAGCCCGTTAATCTTCTTTATCAAGTGACATTCATTGCTTTACAGAAAATGAAGCGATAACCGAGATTGCTGCAATTAAGTCGAAGACATTCTTAGCGCTTCTGGCGATCGATATCACGCGAGCTTTTATTATTTTTAAAATATTACACTGGATTTTAATAGTTCAAAAGTTACGCATATCTTTTCATCCTGGAGACGCGACCACTTTTTTCTCTTTTTCAACATTCATTTTTCTTGCAGTAGCCTTGGGCGGCCTTTGTGCATTAAGCCTTTTGAACTCAATAATCCATGCAGATTGCAGCTCAGCGACTCGAGGATTCTTCTTTTTTCATTGTGATTTACGCCCCTCTCGTTTCCGTTTGTTCAGCCTTTTTCTACCGATCGTTTTTATTATAGTACGTTCTTATTTTTCGAACATACAATGGTGGCAAACATTGAAAACATAGGCTATCATTTGCGTATGATCTTTCAATATCGACGCACATCCCTGTCAAACTGTCATGAATGATAGACGGCCGTTTACCAATAAAATTACCTCCGACTGGTGGAGCATGAAGGACGCGTTTTGTCCGTCAAATTAACGTTTCAACCGATTGCATTCGGTTGCATTAATAATGAACCTAAACTCAACCCTGCATTTTTAAAGTAATATCTGTGACGTATTCTAGATGTGATTTATACAAATTTATTATCGGAATCGTCGTCGAGTATCCAGACGCCATTGAATTACACGTGTGTGCGACTGATCGATACTGGCGTTGCTAGCTGGTAAACCGTATATTCCTCCTTTACGCATCAACCCCTCGGACGGATCGCGCCCTTCGGTCCCGATTCGCCCTTTGGTTGGAGCTACCCTTGGTTAATGCGATAGACGGTATAGTACAAAATACTCATCGCATCCTGTTGCTTATGTTAAAGCATTTTCGTTGTAGCTCGTAATAAACACCCAGATAAGAATACATTGCAATAAAATACGGTGATTATACAATTTTATACGGACATTCTTTTACTATGTAATATCACCCTATAAAAAAGATTTATACAATTTATAATATAACTTAACATGTACTTACATTAATTTTCTAATATATATTTTCTATTACGAGTATTTGAAGTATTTTAAAATTTTGCTTTAGAAATATAAATAAGTTTTAAGAAATTACTTGTATTATACACATTTATACATATATGTTATATGTCACTAGAACAATACAGCTTTTTGCGCCTTTTATTTCCTGACCCTATGTATTTCTCAATAGATTACAGTTAAGAACATAATTTAAACTTATTTATCTATATATGTATAAATTTTAATCTTTAAATCTAAGCATTTTAAAGTTTAGAATTTAGATTTTAAAATCTAACAATAAGATTTTTAATTCAATATGTATCTCTCCGTACTTTGATTTTTTTTTAAATCATGGAAACTTGAATAGCACGAGCATATATCAAATAGATGAATTCAACGATAAAATAGGGAAGACAGAGAAGGAACGAAAATTCGTTCTACATCGCATCGGGTCGAAATATCGCGAAACGATTCGTTACTCTATAAATTTCCGGACAGATCAACCTGGATATCAGCAAATGGTAATTGCATCGGTTCCAAGAGACGAACGAGTATTCGAGCTTCGAGATGGAAAATTTCTGGCCACGAGCCCAAATTGGGTTCTCTACGTGTTGCATGTTGTAAAGTAAAATGATACGGGAGTTCAGGAAGTATGCATGAACATGCAATTTACATACATGTATATAAAAGGATGCACATATTTAGATATCATATCACCTACAAAATTAATATTAGGAAAATCAAAGTAGTACGTTTTACAAAATTTGTGTTACATTAATTAAACTTCACTAAAAATGCATAATTAAATTTGGTATATTAGTAAAGAAATTATTTATGACTATACCAATAAGAAATTTTTATATTTAATAATAATACATTTTTGCTTATAATAAAAATAGCTTTTATAAGTAAGAATAAATCAATTTTTTAAATATCACTGGCTATAATAGCTTTTAATAAAATATAATAAATAATTCTGTGCAATGTTAAAAAAAAAACGTATTGAAAATTGTATTTGTACGAATGAATCACTGAAATAGAAAGTTTACGATTCTCTTGATAGATGGCAATACGGACTTCTTTCTCGCTACGTTTTCGAGAAATGAAATGTGGAAATATGCACCGTGCATGTCGGTAAAACTACGCGATTTTTAAATTGCGTTGCGATAATAAATGTGCATATATTTATGCCAGCCTTCGTGGAAACATATGAACAGTTCTACGTGACTTGTTTCGTCGCATTGATATCATTTAACGCTTAAAAAATTATATATTACATACATAATAATAATCATTTGTCTTGAGACAAATGTAAAATAATACTTAATCAAGCGGTTGCCTGTAACGGGGTCATTGTAAGAAGATAACGCGACCGCAATCAGGCCGCAAAATGACGAGCGACGTCTTATTTCTCCCTCGTGTCTTTTGTTATGTATAAACTTTTTCGTCATAAATAGATGCTAATAAATTCATAAGAACGCCGAGCTGCGCTGCGTGCCCGGTATACGAAATTCATTTAAATAGCAATTGCCGGCAACGAACGCCATTTTATGAAACGTAAAAAATAAAATCCGCTGCCGACCATGTATATACATAAATAGGGATGCTGTCAGGCATGCGCGTTGAAAAACACTTATTCCGCAGATACGATCGGGCGTCACATTTTGCGGCAGCCCTGCTGGAATCTGATAAGAAAAGTGCGCAAGTTTAACGAACACTTAAACGTAACCGTTTCTTCCACGACGTTCATTTTCCACAAGATGTAATATCACGTGATATGTTATCAGCATCTATAATAAGATCTAATTAAGTTATGAAATCATCGATATGCGATGTAAATTCAAGTTCCGTAATAGTTTCATTTTATAAATCTTATTTCTAATTTTGTCGTGCTTAAATAAAATTAAGTTCCATGAATTAAATCTTTAAGTAAAAAAGTTTAATATAAAAAATTGCAATCGCAACGCAGAAAAATATCGGAATAAACTGCTTTCGTAGGAGAAACTTATTCTATATTTTCTTTCACGTGTCGCGCATAGAATAATTTTTTAACAAAGATACAATTTTTCGAGATTGTTATACAGTCTGATAGCTTCTCCAATAAATACTTTTCGGCCTGATCGGTTGCGTATATAAGTGTCGCGCCTGGTCGGCCGCGCGCGCGACCTTGGCCTCTGTTAGCACCATACAACGCATGACACATAAGGGCGGGTAATGTCGGACACGCGATCCGATATGTATACGCGGGTCGCAAGAAAATCACTGCGACACAATCCACGACGCGCGTTTCGCGTTATTTACCTCCTTCAGACGCGGGCGAGCACGGAACCGAGTCGAGGATTTATGCTCACCCATATGCAGGCGCTCGCAGCACATGGCGGCCGCAAATTGCACCGACTCTTTAAATTCCTCAGCGCTGACGTCTTTCTCCGAACGACAATTTTCGTCACGGGTGCGCGAAGCGATATCAGACACGAACTTTTTACGGCGTCCTAGGTCGGCGCGAGCTTGTGCAAGTCGGCCTGAAATTACTTGGGAAATTACGTGGTGCGACGGTGGTGACCGCAGTATCAGATCTCCGGCTCGTACGTAATTTTCTTCCCGCATTAGTCCCCGCGACGTTTATGCACGGGCGAGAACATTTCGCAGCGCGAGAAACGCGAACTTATTAGACCGAATCGTGACCTCTGCGTCAATTTCGCGCTGCGATTTCTTTATAACTTATAGATGATATCAACTGTAGAGATTGTAATGCTCGGCTACGCCTTTTAACTGTTTTCTAGAAGTCGCGAGCGAAAGAAAATATATATCATAACAATTCCATGAATTATAAATTGCAATTTCCCTGATTTTTTTACTAAAGTACGTTAAAATATTATAGAAGAGAATAATCTCTGTCAGACGTTATTGAGGCTGAAATGTACTTTTCAAAGGCAATATTATAAAAAAAATTGTCTTTAACAAATGACGTTATTGATTATCATTTTAAATGATATCCAAATATATAGCCTTAATAACAATTGCTTACGGGACAAAATTATACACAATAAAAATTTAATCAGTATTGCATCAGAAAGACAATGAAGATTGACAATGAAGATTGATAACTTCGAGTTTCGACTTTCTACTTATCTTCTTGAAAAGTATGAAAAAATATTATTCACTTTGTTGTTATAAAAATATTAAAGATACAATATTCGCAAAAAGTTTTGCTGTTTTACTGAAATTATTCTCTTGTATACGTAGTTATATACACCGTTAAACCGTTTACGAATACGACTTCTGAGTGTAAATTAGTACGAGAACACCGCGAAGTATGCTAGAGAATTCAAGATACGGGCTTGACCGCACGTTGAAACTTCAAATTCCGTGCCCACACGATCTTCGTGGTAGCGTCACGTGGTAGCGTCACTTCCTATCCGCGTGAGCGAGTTCTGACCCATTTTACAAAGAAAGAAGCCGGGTCGAGCCTCTATCGGCTGTCCATCTGGTTGGCGTGTGACCTTTCGCATCCCTTCGTTAGCTTACCGCGCGCGAGTAACGGATAAACGAGGGAACGTTTTGGCTTGATAGAGAGAAGCATTTGTATACCATATCTGATATCAAATTACCTGATTTTGAGATTTATAGACGGTTCGATTTCTTTTGATAGATATATCTGTGCGATAAGAATACCGAGTACAAAGTCGAGGAGTTTATATCGTTGAACTTTAGTATTTGTGTCTACGACAATATATTCACTCGAGAAACGTGCTTCTAATGCTATAACCAACAGGCCATTGAATTTTATCTGATTATCATAAAGAAATCATAAAGACATAAAATAATTAACAAAGTTTCTTTTGATACAATATATATAATAAATGTATATGAATCCATGCCAATAGTAAAAATGTTTCTTAGAACTTGTTTATACTTTAGAAATTTCGATAATATTAAAAATATTACTCTTATAAATCTATCCTCTCTAAATCTGAATCAGTGAAAAGCACACTTTACACTGATATCGGTGACTATTCACTGATTCAGATTTAGAGAGTCAGTATTTAAAAATTGATTAAAAATGATTAAAATTAAATTAAGACTTTTAGTCACATGCAGAGATACATATTTAATATACAAAATTCAGTTGTATAACCAGCAACAATACGACACGATTTGAAATTGTGTAAACATTTTACATAACTTTCGATTCTGATGCCTACTATATTTATCTTCGAGCCATGCTACTATGATCGATTGACATTATCTCGGCGTCAATTACATAACTAATTGAATTTGCCTGTTCCTAGAGTCAGTAGAGTGTAAATGTATTCTAGTATTCTAGCCGCCTTTGGAACAGATTGACAGCTGTTCTGTTCTTCATTGTCATTTGAAATACATGTTCTGCTATTCAGTTTTGTGCATAACATTTTCGCTTAGTTAATAGCTTTCAAGGCACATTGTGGGTTAATATAAAATTAAGACGACATAAGTAAAATTAAGACAAGGAACAATGTTAAGATAATTTTTAAAGTTAAAATATCTGCCTTCTTAATCAATATATACGAAAATTTTCTATAAAAAATACGTTAGTTATATCTAAAAAAAGTAAAATGTTGTATTATCATTTCCAGCACTAATTAAATTAAAAAAAGATAGTAATCTATCTACGTAGTTATTCGTCAAATAAATATTGCGATAAAATCAGTAGTTCATTCCTGTGATCGTTAGAAATAATTTCACTTAATCTGATTTCGTATCTGCATAGCGCAGGTGGTAATTTCGCTTAGGTCATATAAATGGAGATTGCGCACAAGTGTGGAAAGGTACAAAAGATCACGAGGTTGTTCGCAGAACGCTATTCAAATTGTAATGTCAACGATGCACGCAGTATTTAGTACGAAATAAAATTATTCCTTTCTTTGGCAGTGGCAGTAGCTTCTGGTATTGTTAGAGAATGTAAAAAATGCGAGAAATTAGAACATCTTATATAGCACAATTTTCTTCAATTAATTTCTACCGGGCGACCAAGTACTATGCTCTTTAGCAATTTGTGACGAGAACTTGGCCTTTGTGCTGGTAATCGCCAATCTTGAGATTCTTGATAAAGCGACGTTAATATCTGATGTTGTCAATATAACGAGCCTTGCACATTGGTGAAATGCATAATGTTCCATAATCACGTACAGCACCGAATAGGCATTGAATTAGCTATACAGTACAACTTGTAAGGATCAAAAGGTCTGAGACGTGAACTATATATATATCTATACTGAAACTACTCCTGAGATGATTTAGTGCTTGATGACAAACATAGATGGATTTAATTGAGATTGATGCACCGACTAATTTAATCACGCGAATCCTGTTTGATGGTAATTTTTAAAGTGTATCGGAGCTAAAGATGTGGCAAAAACGATATCCAAATAATACAGAATAATACAGAAGTCCAAAATATACCGAAAGCATATTTAAAGAACTCAAACTTGCAGACATTATTTATACAAATTTTTTAAACATTTTTTTGGTTTCTAATTAGTGGTTTGGTTTCTTTGATAACATTTTCAAACAATGTGACGTCTCAATAACGTTAGATTATTCATTACGTCACATTACATTATTCATTATTCTGTTTTATTCTTAAATTTTTTTAAAGAAACCGCACTACCATTATACAAATGTGTTTATTAAATTGCAAATTTTAGAAACATGACAATGTGCCGAAATGTCATAATCCCAAAATCTTAGAAATGAGACAGTGTCCCGAAAACTTATACCGTTCAATCGTATATATACTTTGACGCTCGCTTTGACGACTGCCGTTAAACCGTAACGATAAAAAGCACATAGTTTCATGATTGACACTATAAAAATTGACAATATTAAGGTATATTGGCAATTTTGACAATAGCAATAAAGCGCGGAGCTGTCCAAAAGAATCGCGCGCCTCGCCATTCATCATTTTCATTAAACGCTTATATCTCGGCAACCGCAAACGATAAACAGACGATTCAACAAGTACTCGTTAGTTTGAAATCTGCCCTATTGGAATTAATCATTATTAATACTGGCAATTTTACAGTTTCGATTACTAAGACGAGAAAGCGCACAAGATGTTCGCCGAGTGACTTTTTATTTTCATTAAACACTTACCGTATATGTATATTTCGGTAATCATAAGTGATATATAGAAAAATGATAGAAAAACACTTCAAAATAGTTTTACATTCTTTTCTCGTTTACAATGTTTTTTTTTTAAAGCTGATTTTATGGATTTTTGTTAAATATTTTTGCTGCGCGCCGACTTCGGAGCTATATCAAAATCCGAGTCATTTTTGGCTAAAATTATATGGAGTAAATATGTTCTCGTCAAGATATAAGGTAAATTTATATTATTTGTTCACTGTCGTCAAAATCGCCAATATACCTTAATATTGTCAATTTTTATAGTGTGTCGAACGTGAAACTATATGCTTTTTATCGTTACGTTTATCGTTTTGCCGTTAATTTAACGGCAGTCGTCAAAGTATATATACGATTGAACGGTATAACTTTTCGGGACATTGTCTCATTTCCAAAATTTCGGAATTATGACATTTTGGCACATTGTCACGTTTCTTCAATTTTGGGATTTTGACTTTTCGGGACATTGCATGTCCACCAGTTCTACGTCTGATCGATCGCTTAAAGAATATATATCTGAGTAGTGTACCTATATCTTGACCTCTCTTTTCCCCATTTTTATGACGTCACAATGCTTTACATCGACGACGTCATCGAAAGTTCACTTTAAGCGAGCGTTGCTCGCTCAGTAGAAATGGTCATAATGAATATGGCCGACACGACGCGGCTCGCGTGTCGGCTATTTGGTCTCCTTATCACATTCGGCGGAACCTTATAAGAACCGCAGTTTTTTCTTTAATCAATTTGTATAGCCGGAAATAGTGGTATTCAAATCATACGCTACTTCAGTAAAATTTTTTGTCTGCCCATATCACGAATAAATGGCCTAATCATTTTTGGTCTCCTTATCACATTGGGCGGAACCTTAAGAACCGTAATTTTTCTTTAATCAATCTGTATAGTCGGAAATGGTGGTATTCAAATCACACGCTACCTACGTACAGCCATATTTTTCGTCTGCCCATATCACAAATGAATGACCTAATCATGTTATGGCAGTTATAGCATAATTGCAATTAATAATGGACTTTCGTTAGCTGCCTAGTCACTACGATCGAATTAATAGACTACAACGTATGAACAGAATGATATTTTCTATTATCTTTTTTTATTTTCTAAAATAATTTTTTAAATTTTAACACAAAAATAATAAAATTGTCGGAAATTTTTAATTTTTATAACACATTTTCTGTCAAAAAATATTATTCGTAAGTAACAACAAACAGTACAATTTTACAGAATAGTTGTGTCTTTTTATTATTGCAAAAAGTCTCATTTTCGACAAATCTAAAATAATTTACTAGAAAGTATAAAAGATATGATTAAAAGAAGTCCCATAGATACGACGTTAGTTGCACCACCTGGAAAGAAGCACGATTTAATCAATTTATTATTCAAGTTGGCTTGAATAGTGACAAAACGGGAGGAGGTAAATGACGATAAAAGTAGCTTTCAGCAGTCAAACGTAGCTTAGAAGGCGAGTGCTATTTCTACCGTTATCGATTATTACGCGATAACAGAATTCGCGGCAGTAAACTTATTTCCGAGATTGTGTGCTCGAGAAATAGCAATGTTCGATAGAGCGCTGCTTTTCACGCTTTCTATGAGAACGAGCAAAAAGTCTGTTAGATGGGTTACGTTATTGTAGGTACGTCTTATCGATGCTAATCGCAAAAATTACAACACAGCTCTCGAACTAGCGTGCGAATGCGCGACTCGTAATTGCGAGCACATTATTCTGTCACATAAAAGGATTTTATGCGCACTTGAGAAAAGGTTCCTGTTAATCGACATACATTGCTTTCAGGTAGGTGGAAATAAAATGCGGCAAAAATTTTCTATTAATTGACGCTTAACTGAGTCAAGGTTATACTTACCCCTAAAAAAGAATTTTGAATGTTGCGGATGTTCTACACAGACACTACTGTTCAACTTCATGTAGCCCCAAGTGCACGCGCATTTCCCGTTTTTGCAAACTATTCTGTTCTGATGGTTCTGATCCTCTTCTGAGGTTTCGTAACATTCGCGTAAATTCGTACAAGTTTCCTCAAGAACTGCGAGAATTTAAATAAAAGAGTATAAATGTTTTAAATGATTTTTACGAAAAATTAACTGAGCATAGATTATTTTGTCTTACATCTCTCCTTATAACATCCTCCGAATCTGTAGGTCATATTACTTGTTTTGTTACAGATACACACTTTGCTTTCTGCTACCGTTGACGACACCATTACATCTGCAGTATTAGTTTTGTTTTTCTCAACGGTCGCGTTGCAAATTGCGTTTACTGTAACGGCAAAACATTGAGAGTCCGCTAAACAAGGCTCGCCAAATCTTGATACTAGAAACATATTAAATCCAAACATTAAAGTTATCGATAATATGAATATGAAATTTTTAGCAATATTTCCTACTAAGAAGACCTACTAAGAAGACCAAACTAAGAAAAATACTTACCTGGCATGCATAAATTAACAGACACCTCCGCGTAATTTGGTTTACAAAAACATTTGTTTGAAATACATATGGAATTCTCTGGTGCGCAACTCTCGTCATCTATGCATTTAGCATTGATACCTAAAATTCAATTGCTGCATCACGTAAACGCTATTTTTGTTACTTTTAATGATTAAATTTTAGTTACGCGTTACATCAATTATTTCTGTATTTCTTAAAATACGTAATTTGTTCAGAAATGTTAATATAAAGTATATAAACTATTTACTTTCATGAAAAATTGATATTTTTATCAGAATTAATAAGATATTACCTGGCAAACAAAGCTTGTGTGATTCATAATAGTTCTTGGCACACGTGCACACTTTTTTCTTTTTTTCACAAGTAGAATGCGGAATTGTTGCACAATCACTGTTTATTTCGCAAACGTCTCCAATTTCTAAGATTTAGTGCAAAAATTTTGTCAAATATCAAATCAATCAATTTTGTTACATAATGGAAAAGTAATAATAAGAAAACCGTTTACCTGTTGGTCCTATACAAGTTATTTTGTCCTTGCTTAAGTGCGTGCCCTCGGGACAGCCGCATGTACCATTGCATGCTAGATTGCCTTTGAAATCTTTCACATAACAGTCTCGGTCTTGTTTGCAAGTTTCACCGAGCCCCGTGTTTCCCCAGCAAAAGAGTTCACTCTCCACATAATGGGAAATATTCTCGTTGCATATACATGTATTATTATCACATACAGCATCCGGACCAAAGATATAACACTGTTCGTTCAGCTGGCAATTTCCCATATACTCTCTGGTCGCTGAATGAGATAAACATATTAAAAATCAATATAATTTTAATGTATAAAATCAGAGTCTTTAATTTGATACATTCCAGTGCGTTAATTTTACATTGACACCATAAAAAGATAAATTTATCAAAATTGTATGTTTTAGCTTTTTAGTTAAAGCTTTTTACTTACCATTAAGGCATTCGCGATTATCTTTAGATGCAACCGTGCCTGTCGTACAACTCCATCTCCCTTCACGACAAATAGAATTCTTGATGTAGCTGTCGTCGTCCTTGTGACAGGGTTCTCCAAGTTCTGCCGACATAAGTGCCTGAATATTATTACCTGTAAAATTGTGTCTGAGATAGTGTCATTAATATTACCTGGGATACATTTGGTGCTTGTATTCGATGCGAAATGTGCACGGTCACAACGGCATGTCCCGGTAGGACCGCATATGGCATTTCCCATTTCTTTACAGTCCTCGTCGGTCTTACAATTACTGCCCACCTCTAACAGAAACATACACACATATGAACGCACTTACAGTTTCATCATTTTATCATTAAAAATTTTTAAGGATTCTACATTTATACTTTTATACATTTAATTTGTTACTTATTGTTCATATACTAACCTTTATCCGAAATTTCTTTGGTCGATATGACGTCAGACCAAAGTTCGACAGTTTCATCAGCTTCGGATTTTACAGCGCATACGAACTTACTACATGTCGCATTACCGAAAGTACAATCGATATCAACTGTGCACTCGTCGCCGACGGCTGCGCGAACAACATTAAATAAAGTTTTACAACACAATATTTCAATGTTGTGTCATAGTATATTATAAATTTATGTATTTTGTCCGTGTAACATGGTCGTTGAGCATCTTTACCTTTCCCCTCTTTCCGACAAGTGCGATATTCACGCTGGTAAAAGCCAGGACTACATTTGCAAATTCCTGCATCGCAAGTGCTTGCTTCAAAGTCGGCGTTCACATAGCAGTCAATATTTTGCTTACACTTCTCGAATAAGCCTACGTATTAACAATATTTTTTATCATTAACTTGGAAAGACATAACAAGTAAAATAATAGAAATCACTCACCGACGTGCCGATTACATCTACCATGTAGATAGTAGTAACCAGGACCACATACACAGACATTTTCCACACATTTAGCGCCACTGAGGAGATAAGCCGAACACTGTATTGTATCCTCACATAAATCATAAAATCTAGTTGCAACTGCGAAAAGTAGCGATAATTTCTTTGTTTATGTGCAATCAATAATATTATTCTAATTGTAAGAAAGCAATGAAGTTTAGATGAAACAATGTTACCTTTAACGCAGGCTGTCATATCAGCGTTAAAAATAAATCCGGACGCGCACTGACACAAACTGTTATTGCACACACTGTTTTTCGCCGTACAATCATTATTAGAGCTGCATTCCCATTCATTAATCCACATTATATCATTTGTATCGCTGGTATCGCTTGTTTCTTTCGATGAAATGTCGATGTTAAATGTGAACACTAAAATATTTTATTTCTTGTTTTAATCTTTATCTGAATTTCCGTCTTATATATTTAATAATAATTTCTTATAAATAATATGTTTAATTATATAAAAGCACACTTATATGTATAATAACAGCTATTTTAAAGAATTTTTGCAAATGTACTGTACAGTGGATCAAAAAAGTATTTGCACACCCAGTTTTCTTACAATAACTTTATTTAAGAGAATAATACATAATTACAAATTATGTAAACAAGTAATAAGTTACTTGTGGACACAATTCGTAATTATGTATTATTCCTTCGAATAAAGTTATTGTAAAAAAATTAAGTGTGCAAATACTTTTTTGATCCACTGTATACATAAAAATGTAAAATTTATTGTTATATCCTAAATTCTTGTAAATACTTACCATTGTGGACGAGAAATTGTAGATATAATAAAATGTATACAACTTGCTGAATTTGTCGCATCTTTAGCACATGCGAGTATTATTGTAACGTCTTCAATAATGAAGTTTAATCAGACTGGCTTCTTTTATCAAATCTGAGACCAGTGCCGACGCTAAACAAAGTATAAAACGCAGGAATTCAGTCTCATAAATTTAGAAAGCAGTAATTATTACACACTAATATCTTCTTCTTTTCATACAATATTGTACTTTTTTTTTCAAATATTATTTTTAGGAATTAATTATTTTTAGGAAGTCTTTCTCGTTTTACATATATTCTATCATAGCGTTCACTATATTTTATTTCCGTAGCTATTTCTAACATAATCATAAAAATTTCCGTCTTTATTTCATAATATGCACTTATGTATGCATTATGTTATAATAAAAAACATTCAAAAAATCTCATTACCTTCGTAAAAATTATACTGTCGTTTTTTATTTACTTCTTATTAGAGTTGTAATACATTTGACACTTGGTTCTTTGGAATATACGACCGGCACTGTCTTACGATATCATCTCGATTGGAACACCTGTTCTGTTATCGTGAGAAAATAATCTTTGGATGATATGTGTTATTTGAACTTATGTTCAATATATTATAAAAGACGGAAGTAATACAACATTACACAAAACATTTTTTAAAAATGAAAATTTGTTTATATTTTTTGGTTTTAATGTCCCTAAAAGTGATCATCGTTTCATAAAAAAACGCTTATACAACGTCGATCTGAAAACAGATATATAACACTTAATCATTGCAATTTGTTATAACATAATTAAATATAATTTGATTTGATTTACTGCAATTGTTTAAATCCAATCAAATTAGATCATTACAATAAATTACAGGTAATATAGCAGGAATTAAACAGTGACCAAAAAATACAATACGATATTAATTCGATACATGCAACAAATTATATCTCATTTGTTGTTTTCAACTTGTTCATGGCGTTCAAAATTGATCTTTATAAATGAAATTAAATTCAATCTGTTTCTCGCTTAATATATTATATATTTTTAAACATTTTTTACAACACATAAAAAAAATAGAATCTATTTATATTTTTTTAATTTCTGAAAGCGATAATTGTTTTATAAAAATGCTTATACAACGTTGATCTAAAAAGTAGATATACGTTTAATCACTTCTTCTAATATAATTAAGATAATTTAATTTATTGCAACTGCTTGAGTTCAATTGAATTAACAATAAATTTTAGATAATATATCGGCAATTATGAGCAAAAAATACAACATGCGATTAATTCAATGTACGCAAAAAGTCGTATTAAATTTATTTTTTTCAATCTGTTTTTAAGGCGTGTAAAGTCGATTTTTATAAATGCAATGAATTCAATGTATTTAAAAAAATTTTTTTTATGCTCTTTATATTAAATTAATTTCGAAATTAAACAAACATATACATGTAACTACGAGGTAAGTTTCTGTTGACAGCGAGACATAGTCATCAGCTCTGTTGACCCGGGAAAGATAATTGATGACCCGATCTACGTCTTCCTCGTACCTAAAAATGTGGAAGGGGACAGCTTTTATCTCGACCTTCTATATGCTATTTTAGCAGGTCGAGATTAATTCATACTACTGCGAATATTTATTACGATCTCGCGTCTCAAAGGAATGTTCAGTTTACGATTATTCGCTCATCATGAAGGAACAGTGGAGCATTAGTGAGAGTGAGCAATATTACTCGTGTTTTTATGTTAAATATAAAAGAGTGATAATTATTCGCGTTAATTATAGAAAATTTATTAAAACATTGTTTAAAGTAACCAAAAAAGTTTTACCGTGCTTCTGTTATATTAATATTTTTATTCTTACATTTTATTTTTTTAGTCTTATAAATTAATTAGGGCATTGTAACGTAAAAAATCGTTTCGTAAATGAATTTTGATTATATAATAATAATAAATACATTGAGTTAAGCTCTTTTTCTATATAATATATTTATTTAACGTTTTTAAATAAATATGTTCATTAATAAACATTTAGTTATTTTGTAAATAAAATGCTTAAATAAATAAAAATTTAAATTTACACAGATAACATGCAACTCGCAGATATGGAAGAAGGATTATATCAGGGAAAGCAAAAGTACATGAAGAGAATCGAATATAAAACCAACTGTTGCATAGGATGCATACCCTATCTCAGACTGATACTCTTATTAGAAGTAACGTTGTTCTTCGGATGGGGTTGTTACATGATCTTGCAGAATTATCGTCCCGGAGAAATAAAAAGTGAGACTACGAGCATCACTATTGAGAGAAATCCATCAATGATTGAATCTGAATCATTATCTGAAATACAGAAGTCCAAATATCCAAATACAGAGATCCCTGGGATATTTGTCAAGCCTGAGGTCATTATAGATAAGATAAATAATCTTTTAGAAAACATGAAATTTGCGAAAGATCAAGATTTAACGGACAACAAGGGAACTGTAACCCTGGTAACAAATGTACCCAGGATGATGCAAGCAAATATGCAAAATTCTAATAACATGAAAAGTAATAACATTGGAATAAATGCCATCGACAGATTATTGTCAACACTATCATCTAGAAATTTAGATAAGAAGTTTACGAAGAGCTCAGTACCCCAAATATTATTTTCAGTTGAATACATTGATAAAAATACTGACGATAATGTTGACAAGGACGATGAATTTTTCCACCCTACACTATTTTTTGAGAAACTACGAAATATAAGTAAAATAAAAGCAACTAACGATTTAGAAAAAATCGAAAGGAATGATTTTACTGAGAATGTTAATCGTTTGACATTAGGAAGTCAAGAAAATCATGCGTTGGATGAGTCTAACAAGCTTAATGATTTAGAATTAAACATTGTAACAATCTTAAATCCTGAGAATTTTATAGATCATAGTGAAGATCTGATAAATGCTTTGCAAGATTCGGAACAGGAATTTTCCGATTCAACCAAAGATGCGGCACAGGAAAATTCTTTATTTGATGATACCGATAAACGAGTAAATGCACGAGCTGAAGAACTAGGTATTGTGATATGCCCACCTTACGAGTCTCATGAGTTTTCTGATATGTTAACAAAAGACTCGTCCATAGGTTTTCCTATTTCTCAGCCTCTATTAGCACAAGAAAGTTCAGAACAAATCGAAAATGGGTCAAGCGATGATATTGCTGAAAGAATTGAAGATAAACACGATATAAAAGGTAGCGATATGTCAGCATTTACGTCCGGAAGCCAAGATCGTTTTGATTTATCGGGCATCACTGTGCAAGATATAAAAGATTTATATTCATCTGAGAGTCTCGCAAAGATGAAAGAAGATGAGAAATACGAATCAACGGAGAATACTGAGAATCCTTACAAATTATGGTTTTTCCGACCAAATTCCGAGATGATAGAATCCTCGACGCCAAATGTTGATAAATTCCAATGGTTTAATGGGCCCCCTTCCTTTGTAGATCTTGAACTGGGAGATATACCGAGGTCAAGCGAGATACATCATCGAGTTAGTTCATTGTGGGATACGAACGAGGACATGGATGTTGACGATGTTATTCCAGGAAGTCAGTGCGAGATAACAATTAAAATGGGTATTCTCAAAGTGAATTGTCCCGCTATTAAGTTCAATGAAGAATGGAATGTCACCTCGCCCGAAATACCTCCAACCGATGTCCCGAAAGTCACTAATTTTGAAGACATTTTGGACGGTTACTTACGTACCGAGTGTGACGAAGATGCAAATGAGAAATTGGAGGTTGAAAATATTTCTAATGAAAATTCTGATAAAGAAGTTACGGCATCGCGGAATGGCGTACCTAAAATAATCAACGCGATTGAATCACAAGAAAGCACAAGTGTGAAAATTGATGTGTTACCGGATTTATCTGATGCGGCTTATATTGATCCTTTCGATGGCGAAGAAAATCACGATTATTTTTCGACGGCATTTTACGATTCTTTATCTTATGATTCAAGTGCGGACAATGACAAAGTAAAACAAGTCACGACGGTACCATCCTCTATCCCTGAATTCGATTCCAGTACCATCGATTCAAACAAAGGACAGAATTTATTTCTTGATATTTCCGGTACACAACAACAAGAACAATTAGTCAGCAAAGAGCGAGATTATTCAGTTTCTGATAATAGCGAAACTTCTTTGAAAGATTTCGATCATTTTCACACTTTGGAAAAGCAGCTAACTTCTTTACTTAAAAATAAAATGTCAAATATCCTGACGCGGTATTTACCAAAAAATTCTTATGAAAATAATTATCGGAATAATATTTGCAATACTCTTCGTTATATGCGTTCCATATCCCAACATCCATGGCGTGAACAATACGCTGCTTTAAGGAAACTTTTGGAATATGAACGAAATTCCGACTATCCACACAGTATGGATGATTCTCATTATCGAAGAAAACGAATGACTGATGATCTTACATGGCCACAGGGTATGTCAATTATTATATTTAAAAAATAGATTTGTTAATATATTTTATTTATATTTTTCAGCATATTATTTGTCAAATTGCTTTAAAAAAATATTCATTTTGTTCTTTAATTCTTACAATATCCCTTAAGACAGTAGTTGTATTACATTAAAAAATACATCTCATTATTAAATACATTTCTTTATTTGACATTGTTATGGTAAATATAAATTAATGTAATGTAACTTAAGATATATTGTATATCTTTGCTGCTATTAATTTATTTAAAATAATGTTGCATTATTACAGATCAGGTATCAAATACGTTAGAAGAAGATGAGAAAAACGTGGATTCGTTAGAAAATTTGAGAAAAATGTTCCAGAAAATGGAAATTATTGCTTTCTACATTGACAGACTTCATGAACGATATCTTCTTACCAATAAGCTTGATGACGATTACGCTTCGAGTGAATTTCCGATTGAAACTGAAAAACACCGCGAATTATACACATCGAGAATTGTATAAGAAAAATATGTGAAAAAAAAGAAACATAAATTTCTCTTTTTTTCTTGTTCTTCTTAGCTCTCTTCCTCTCTTTCTTTCTTTCTCTATTAATTTGATACAAATAATAAATAAATTATTTGTAAAGATGTTATAAAAGCTATTTATATTGATTATCACATATTACAGGAACTTTTATATCATAATAAGTACGAATATACAGCGTTAAAGCGCATTTTAATTGTTTCTATCGCAATGCGATAGTATACGTAATATATAATGTGCTCACAAAATTTGTCGGTAAAATCTGTAGGTATTTGACAAAAGCACGCCATGGAATAATTAGTGCGTTGCTCATATGCCTGCGCATAGACCTTGAACTTATTCATGCTAATTTCTTACGATTTATACGTAGCTGCGTTAATGCGATAACGTCTCATGCGTTAGCTGAGTGACGATTGCAATTGGTTGTTTGGTGATTATAGAATTGGAAAAGTAGGTCAAGCTCATATATCTTGAAAATAGGTTCTTGATTATACTGAAAGTGCATAACCTTTGGCTACTGTTTCCACTTTAAAGTAAAATTTTAAATCGATGTAATATTTACTGTAGCGAGCAGCTCTTTGCATATAAATAAAGCAACCAAATTGTTATTTATTGCTCATTAATTCAACTGTATCGTTAGTGTATTTGAATTTAATGCGTTGTAGGTGTCAGTCAAAAGGATTTAAAAGAATATATTTTAGTAAATTGCACAGTATCGTGCACAGAAGAAATCAGTAATTTATTCAGCAATTTCAATGTTCAAACTCATCAGAAACAGAACGCTGCAGGAATTGTGATTTATTCAAAGTTACGTAAATGGAACTTTTAATAAAATATGATTGCTGATCTTATCAAGTATGTTGTTGAGTTGATATAGCATATAGCGTTGCGCTTCTTTATTAATGCCAGCACTTGTCAGCCAATCACGGGCTTAATCGCGCGCTGACCTTACACCTTACAGTTTTCGTGAAACATGCAAGATCGGCCACGACAGTTCGATCAGTATATTTCGATCGCCGGACGAGCATTCCGGTAAATTGCCTTGTAAATCACGGCACGTCTTGCACGCGTCTTGTTAAATTTATGAATCACACGCGAGCTTTCGTGATCGACGATCGATGGGGAGGTTTCCCCGTCGAAACAAAAGGCGACGCGATAGCTGTAAAATCGTCACGACAATCCGACACCCGCCTTCCTGCTGCTGTAGATGTTGCAAGGCGAGGCGCGATGCACTTGGCGTGCGAGCGGACACGTTTCTACGACTGTCTGCCTATAAAATACTGGCAACAAGGCGATAAATTTTCGGTCGCTTTCGTGCAAGAGCAGCCGGATGCGCCTCCTTTGTAACTTGCGTAGTTAACATTTAGAACTCGATAAAGGCTCTCGAGTTTCAAAGAAATGTAACGTCGTGATGTCGAGCACATGATAACGGAAGAACTAAGCTAAATAATTAAATGAGAACTGCGTGAGAAAGCCTTAATAATAAATCTTATTCTACAGGAATAATGCTGCTAAATTCTTACACTTACATTTTTTATGTTTCCTCATTTACTTTTAAACGTCACTAAAGAAAATAAATAAAAATATAATTATATACTTTTATACTTGTATTAATGTTGTTAAATATATCGTGCGATACATATTTTGTGATAAATGGGCGATGATGATATTAAATTTTCTTGCGATAGGTTGCTCCTGTTTAGAAGCAATTATACAAATAATGGAAAAACATTAATTCAAAATTATCGTTTTTGTATCGCAAAAATAACTTAGTTTCGCTGTTTCTTTCTTAAAAACTATTTTTTAAAAAGTTTTTATATATTACCTATTCTTTCCTCTGTTTTTAAGTTTGTAACAAATAGTTCATAAACATAAAGATGATTACTGCAATTATTAAATAAGAATTATTGAAGTTATTAAAAACGATAATTATCCGATAATCTTTCTTTCATGATTGCAATAATTTTTATTTGTTCTCAATTGTTTGCTGCAAACTAAGAAACAGAGACATAAAAAATAAAAGAGAACTTTCAAGAAATTATTTTTTATGGAAAGAAATGTATGGGTGAATAAAATGAACAAAACAATTTGCTTTTTGTACAGTGGTTTCTAAAAAATATTAATTAATAAATAAGTTTTTATTATCTTGTATGAGCGATAAAGATCCAAGCGAATATTTGATTTAGTGCATGTATAAGGTCGATTAAAATAATTGCGGGGTTTTCAGATGAGGCATGTAACCCATATTCGACGGCAGCGTGAGACCAACTTTTTACTTCAATAATCTCGTGATTGCAATATATATATGCTATAAAAAAACTCAGCGAACATTCCCGTAATTTTCTTCGAATAGACGGGAGAAACTTAAACAGATCGTTGATATGGCTGCAGTAATTACAAAAGTTTGTCTCAGATCAGACATGTAACTTTATAAAAAATAAAAGTTAGTGTTATAATCAGATTTATGCATAGTTCAATCATATAATTGTGTAGAAATTTTTAAATGTTGCTATTAGTATATAAGAATTTATATTGAGAATAGATATATAAATAAATGATAACGATGCAAAGTAGAATGCTTCATGAATTTCCGAGTGATACCCTGAAAAGGAGTCAGATTGTATGTGTTAGATTTATAAATTGTGCTGGTAATGCTCAGCAATGGCTCAGTAATAGAACATCTAGCCGCGTCTTTCGAGGCGATCGAAGTTCAGCCGGCTAGCTTCGTATTCAGATCTTAAGAAAGGTGGTAAAGGTAGCCACCCTATGGCAGAGCATTTTCTGCTTCAGTAGTGGCAGCACGTAGGAGGTAGTGGGGGTGCCTCGAAGGCTTAAAAGGCCTTCCAACGTCCTTGTAACACGCAGTCTTGGAATCAAACATACTAGTATTCCGCGTAAGTAGATCGAAAGTGCGAAGAATAATCTCGCCTAACTTTTCCGTCACGGGTTCCGTCAGACTTTCATCGGAGTGATCTGGTGTATCCGAGATTAATCCGTTAAGAAGATAAGAGGAATAGTTTGGGGTGAAAGTATCGAAGTGAAGAAATTAAAAATCTAATCAGGAAAGGAAGTGATTTTTTTCCCTCGCAAGTTATCTCTTTGATAGAGCTTGGATTCGTGATTTGTGTCCACAAGTGGTAATAATTAAATATTGTTTGCGTAACAATTGAGAGATCATGAGAGGCGGAATGGGTCTTCGAATAATTATATCCATCCTATTGGTCATATCAATCTTTTCGCCGCCGATGTCCGCTGCCCTCACAACTTTTGGGAAGAGCAATCCACAGAATCAAAACCCGAATCCACCGCCGCCGCCTACACCAAGTATGTAATAAACGAAAATTCAAAGATTATATTGTTAACCTAATGTATAATGTTTCTAAATAGTTATAATTTGAAAATAATTATTGAATGCAATAATTTAATATGTTCTCATATTAATTTCACCATTCATAAAGTATAATCCAACTTTATTTTAAAGCAAATTTATGAGTAGCAGACAGACATCATAATGTATGTATCGATTCTGTTATATTATTTTCTAATGACTTAATATTAAGAGTAAAGGTATACAAACTTAATTACATCGTAGATTATATAAAATGCAATTTTATTAAGCGTGATAACTACTTTAATGCGTAAATTATGATACTTATTTTCAGTAATTTCAAAACAAGATAGTTATGGATTTTCAATAATTTCAAAAACAAGATAGTTATGGATGTGTTTTATAACATCAATCATTTCTGTGCATTTCTATGACACTTCTATAAATATGCAAATTAATGCGTCTAATAAATCAGTCACAATTTAAAATTGCGTAGATATAAAAATCTGATGTTTAAGTGTCAAGGTTAAACCGAAGTGAATACTAATGCAGTGCTGAATGTCAGAGTTCTAATCTGCATGGTTTTCAACGATTATAATATTTACATTATTTGACATTATATGTATTTGTACAATTAAGATTTTATAACAATATTAAGACAATGATAATTTAGCGAAAGTTGTATTACGTACTATATTTTATCTTTGTGATGTTTCACCGGGCTCGTTAATAAAGAAGAATAAAAGACGAAAAGATTCTTCGAACATTTAAATATCAAATATGCATTTATGATTACTGCAAAATCTTAGTTATTACCTTTGCTTTAAATTCGCAGATTTAATCTCCAGTTATATGGCAAAATATAATATTGCATACATTTTTATGAGACTAAAAACACATTAAACTAGTTAAAGGTCAAATAAAATTACGGTTTCTTACACAGAATGCTATTGTACATGATATAATACAATTGCAGCTGGTAAAGCTCGCGAGTGTAGGATGGAAAGTGACTGTGCTGGAATTCAAAATACAACGTGCATGTCGGACCCCCGGGATGGAAGAACTCGATGTCTCTGCGGTGATTACTCGGCACCACTTAATGGTGCCTGCGCTAACAAATTCAAAGGTAAACCAATTTTTATTAGGAAATTAATATAAAAATTTCAAATTTATAGGTAAATATATATATCTAAAATATTTTTTGGTAGACTTCAGAAATATAGGTACTATATAACATGTGACATCACTTTCTATTTAATATTTTATGTGCGTGCTTACATTCTCAATGGCTTGCATATCTTTGTTATATTTATCGCCTGATGAATTTCTTGAAATTAGTCAAATTTGGAAAGTCGTTTTAACTAGAAGGCGGTAGAGATTTGCATATACTTACGTGCTATATTGCAATATGTGAACACACACGTGTGATAGTGTTCGTAGCCGGTCTATGGTTATCTATGCAAATTGGTACGGGTAAAGGAGTACCGGTTCGACCTACCTTCAGTAGTTACGCCCGATACAACTCGTTTTTCTGTATGTAGCTTCGCTTCACCACAAGAAAAGGCGTGAATGTAGAACGGCAATAACAGTAAAAATAATAGCTCTCATATTACATTGTGTCAATAAATTATTACATTAAATATTATCTTTTCAATAAATTATTAACCAAAGTGATGGCAATAACCGTACCTGGTACGATGCAGCAAATAAATTTTAGAACTTTGGAAATCGTATAACGTGTACCAAGCAATTTGTAGTTCGATACGTAATATTAGAGGTTCGTGAAACGACCCGGAAACTTGGCAATTTCATTTGATTAGATGATCACTATGCACGTTTCCTTTCTGATCTTTGGCAGAGTTGCCGATGATTGCCTCGAACATTTTAAGGGTAATTAATTGTGATAACGAATCGATCGCTGCTTGAATTATGCTCACGCTCGAAAAGTTAAATGGGGTAATTACTACTGACTTGGCTGCGCTGATGCCGGGGCATATCCTGGTGGGGTCTGCGTTAACGGGTGTGCCCGAGTCGTCGTTGCTGGACGTGCCTGCCAATCGCCTATCCCGCTAGCAGTTGTTGCAGAAGATGCGGGATCACTTTTGGGAGCGGTGGGCTCGAGAGTATCTCCACGCCCTGAGTCATCGTCCCAAATGGCTTATCCAGAAGCCTGACCTCCGGGTCGGCAGCCTCTGCCTCATCGGGAACGAAGCCACTCCGCCAACGAGATGGCCGTTAGCCCGAGTCATCCGAGTCTATCCGGGAGAGGACGGACGCGTTTGCGTGGTCACCGTTCGTACCGCGGCGGCGGCGGAGTTTACCCGGCCTATTATAAAACTTGTAATTCTACCGACTAGCGACGCCGATATATAGGCTTTATTTAGAAAGAATTCCCTGCGAACGCATTACCGTCATTGATTAAATTAAAGAATTGTGCCAAATTAAAATACCTTGAGTAAAGTGAAACGTTAACGCTGAAAATTCCGCGAATACTCCGCCTGCAATGTGTGACAAGGCGCGCGTGTTACGATCGCGGTCTTAAAGTAGCTCTGCTTACTGACGTATTTTTTGCAACCGGACTTAAATTCATGGTGTTCAATAGATCCGCTTTAAGCGGATTCCAGGATCTTTAAATCCCCGTGCGTTGCGACAATGCGCGACGTAAACATTCGCGCGTGCGATCGAGAGTCAAACGACCCCGCCGGCGAATCAGCGTGTCACCGTTAATTACCATACCGCGATTTATTTCGTCAGCCCCTCTGACGAGGCGGGCGGTATGTTTAAGATTGCTTAAAAGTTTCTATCGATATCGGAGTCGAAATAATAAAATCGGTTTTCAGCACCGCAATTGCGAGCACCGAGACTCCGAGCGTTCTTATCGCCGTGACGACCTAATGAATAAACAGCGGAAACAAAGCATTGCCGAGCGAATGGTCTTCGCGTGTTCGCTTTATTTCCTCTGTTTATAATTGTCGACCACGGATCTCTCGGTGACGCGTGTGTCCGAAAAGTCTCGAATTTGCGAGAAGCCCCCGAGAGCTTAAAGAGACGCGTGCCCTTGGCAACGGCCAGTCGTTCTCTGCTACTTAACGAGTCACTGCCACTGTTTGTTAATCGTTCGAGTTGCTCGCTCCTTCACTTGCGTTTTCTCGAGAATTGATCTACCATCCGTCTTATTCGCGATTCTGCGTTTTGTAAATATTGTACATACTGTAATTATTGTTAAACCAACTTGTCCGTCAACTCTACTTCTGTCTCGTTGCAATTCGCGGTTCGTGCAGCCTTCGCTCGCGCGCTCGGTCCACTTTCGAACAACTACATATTTACAGTAATTAAAATCATACAAGCTCACATAAATCGTAAATCGTAAAATCCCAGGCTCGTTAAAAATAAATTTATAAATATAATTTATTTATTATTATATATATCTATTGTACATATTCGGACTCCACTTTTGGAGATAGTAAGATATTTTAAATAAAATCAAGAAAGAATTCGCGTTTTGCTTTTTAGAGAGTCGTCTACGCAAATTCTTAAGTTATTTTAAAAATTATGTTTTTGTCTTTCAGCACTACGTGCAACCTGCAATTCTGACGTAGAGTGCATAGAAGATGCTCACTGTGTGCAGCGTAA